AATCATACTTCGTTCAGTTACGTATTGCTCTGCATCTTTTACTCTGCCAGAGTCCACCTATTGGACAATGAACAAAGACCACTCTTCATATAGCATCACGCTTACAAACATAAAGGTGACTGCATCTCCAAACTTTACAATCAAACGTGGGGTTTTGAATAGAGCAATGGGCTCGGCCTAGCCAACAGTACCTTGTGTGAAAAGTTTCGCGTTCAATGTCGCAAAACGGCAAAAAATATTTTTGGTCGTCGTCGAAAAAAATTCCAAGAGGTCGACCCCGAATCCTGTTTGGCTGGTAGCGACATTGCGAAATCTGGGATTGGCAAGCTTGATCGTGAAACTGGCACCCAAGGTGCAGTTGGCCAAGCCGATCACATTGCTCTATTCAAAACCCCACGTTTCATTGTAAAGTTTGGAGATACAGGCACCTTTATGTTTGTAAGCGTGATGCTATATGAGAAGTGGTCTTTGTTTAATGTAAAGTAGTATGACTACAATAGAGCCAAAGATGCAGAGGGGCGTGTTGTGTAACGGAGCCATTTTGCATGACTGAAATGGCTAATGTAGGATACCATATACACCATCTATGATTGGCAGCTAACAGTCACTTCCTCACAATCGACACTGTTGCCCATTCTATGACATGTGAACAATGCTCCTGCTCCAGCCCAACGTTTCCATCATTCAACTTTCTTGATCCGAGCTGATTTGACTGAGCTACGCCAAAACAGCAAACATGAAAAAACTTGAAAGACAGACCCTGCGAATGTCTCCGTTTTTCAAACTCTTGGACGCTCCCATTCCAAATTTTCAAATGAAGCGTGAGGTCTTTATTAGAAAAAGTTGATCCGCATGCTTCAGAGCATCCTTCTGACCAATTTTCAAGTTGGAGGCGGGCAACGTCGGGGCGGTGGGCCGTCCGCTCTTTTATTCGTGCCATCCACCATTTGGACCGCCCCCGCATTTTAAATCTTCATAATGAGGCATGTGGTTTTTAAATGAATGAAGTTAATCAGCATGTTGCAGCGAACCTTCTGACAAAGTTACAAGTTCGAAATTGGGGATCCCAAGGTAATGCATACTATTTCGATAAATCATGAATCCGGCGCTGTCATGCTTTCCGACCTCCATGGTAAATCCCACATTGTACCCTCCCATTCAATATTTTCTAATGAACATGAGGTCTTTTTTAAAACAATGCTGATCAGCATGCTAAAGAGCGCTTTGTGTGAAAGTTTCAGGTTCGAGAGAGGCAATCTCAATATCAAGGTTTGACGTACAGTGTTCATGCATTTATACAAGAGGTGTCCGATCTATTTACTTCCCACTTCTTCCGCTCTCAGCTATTCCCTCTTCCTCCCATTCCCAACAGTTTCCCCATTCAAGGATACAACTACCACCTGCAAACGATTGCTCTGCTTCAACGCATCATGTCAATCCTACAGTTGCCTTGATCCGATTGTCTTTGACCGAATGCAAAGTCAATGGCATGTACACCCCACTACAACACGCGTCTTCCTGAAAGTACACTCTCTTGCACACTCCTCTGCCACTACCAATCGTAACGGAAGCTGCCATTAGCAAGATCTTTATTACATTGTGTCAAACAGCATTTGCCACCCTGTCATTCTACTACAACACACGCTCTCTTGCACACCCTTCTGCCACGATCAACCGCAACAGCTGTTGCTATCAGCAAGGCTCAAACAGCGTTCTCTACTTGCAACAACTTGTCTTACAGCCTTTGTTACGTTGACAGCAGATAGTCAATGTATGAAAACAGCTTTACTTACGTGCAGCAGTTTGTTTTCAATAAATATGGATCCCTATGGATGATGCCATATCAGCTATCGAGTGCACCACGATAAAAGCAATCTTCACCTGGATGAGCTACGATGAAAAATGACCAAGAAAGAGATAGATCAACAGCCTGATGGAAAAGGAATCATATCAGCAGCAACATTGGACTTACAATGGTTATGAATGGATGGATGCAATCAAGTGCAGCGATGAGGAATCCTGAAAGATTGCTTTGGCTACCTTTTGCGCTGTCAGCAGGAAAATGGATCTTGTCACGTGGATACTTTTGAGGATGGTGATGGATTGGATGGAATGGACGAAACGTGTTTACAGCCATGGATGGATGATATTGGAGTACTCGAATCAATGCATGCAGCAGCTATTTTTTCAATCATGGATGAAGGATGGTTATGACGGCAGCGATCAATAATACAATGACACCATTATCCCTGCTGCCTCTATGTGCTCTTATTCACTTTGCAATGTTGTCCCTTTATCTTATTTACTTGATAAACATCCACACTACCATGTGCTATTCTTCGACTTTCTATTGAATGAAAATTGGATTCAAATTTCAAGTTTATCGTGCTACCAGCTCATGTGTGCAAGATGAGGATCACTTGGTTGGTTTCTGGAGTGAAGTGGAGGGGGGTGGTTGGATGGAAACTTGAAGATTGGAAAGCGAGATTGGATCATTTATATGGAAGCCGTTATTTCACCCTCATGCGGTTGAGGTGATGGCGGGGAACATTTACGCTTGTGTACTATGCTTATCAACTATGAAGATGCCAATGACTTCTCTTTTGAAACGAACACTTACACAACCATCCTCGAGCAGCGTCTTATTTCGTGGAACTTGAGCACTGTAAGTACTTTGAGTGATGCCATTGTTGGCAATGGCTTCGTCTATCTCCAATTCCTGATTTATGCATGCACAATCAATCACCCCAAAGCTCCCCATCAATCTATCACCTCATCATCATTCTCAACAGACATTCTATCACTCTTTGTTGTCACAGAAATACCCAAGCCCACGGTGCAGGCATAAACAAGATGAATGTTGCCCCGATCGCTTTTTCTCTCACACATCTCTTTCTTTCCATCATATCACCCTATGATTGCTGACATCTTCAAAAGCCCTTGGTAAGTGCCATCGTGGCTTGTCCTCCTTGTGAGCGATCCATGTACTTATATTTATGATGGTCTTTAGTCTTTCATTGTTATCCTACCTTCATTGTCCTTGTTGTCATTGTGATATTTGGCTCCTTTATCAAGGTAAATCCTAATCGCCTCGCTTAATGAACTATATATCCATATGCTTATATGAATTCATTGATGAAGTTCAAAAGGCGCCCGAAACATTCGAGGTTGTATCATTGCAAGAAGGGGACGTCAAGGCAATCCCTAAGAAGCGAAATGCCATGGTGACTCAGGACTAAGAAAGGGGAGTGGAAGTAAGTATACTTTTATTTGTGTCGCATCGTTGCTTGGATACGCAGATAATTGATTTGTATGATGTAGGATAATAAAAGTATCAAGGAATTGACAGCGTTGGCAAAAGGCAACGATGCGATGTGCCCATACAGCAAAACAAGTGGAACTTTCGCAACAAATTCTGATGTACCAAAGTACAAAGTACTATCATTTAACAGACTCTTGAATACGGATCCGGATGGAAAGCGATACAATCATTACGTGAAAACCCTGGAGTCTGTAATTTAGCTCTGGGGCGAGCTATGAAAAGTGAGTTCATCGAATGGCTAGACGCTTTAAAGCTTTAAAACATGTCACCATTAAGCAATAAAAATGATATTTGTACTCATACATGACATTGTTGAACGTTTCTGTGACATGATATGCAAAAATCTATTATTGTAAGCAATGAATGAATACTAGAGAGGGAATGCGGTGCTTGTGAGCAAAGGGGGAAGATACGATGAAACACTATCCATGAACCATCTATGAGAAGCGTACTCGCTTTTTGCTCTTGGGCTTTGTTTCCTTGGTAGCCTGCTCTTGTTTTTGCCTTTCCTTCTTATCATCGGCATTCTTCCTTTTCTTTTGCTTTAGCTGCTGCTTCGCGTGTTCCTGTGACGATGATGATAATGTAAGCATGTCATCTACACACCCATATGCAACATCACTTACAAGCTTCTCTTTCCTCTCCTCTTTCTTTTTATCTCGTTTGCTTTCCTTTTCTTCGATCATCTTTTCAATCTTCTCCTGTATTGAGATGTGAGTGGAGAGCTGTCAATGGATCAATCAATGTCCTTACCCTTCTAGCCAGTTTCTCAGCTTCCTTCATTTCCACCTTGTTGGATGCCTTATCCACCATCTCAAGCATGAAGTCCTATAATAAAATCCTATGTAAGCACTCCCATTTACCTACAAATCCATTATCCCGCTTGCTTACAATAGACGCATATTTTGGGTTGTCTAGCTCGGATTTTCCTTTCTCACGCCGTTTGTGCTTGGACTGTTTCTTGGACACTGAAGCCTTCTTCGATCTTGGTCCTTTTGTATTGGTAGCTGATTTGGACTGATTCGACAAGCATGTGTTACCAACAACGATTCCAAAGTCGAGCATGGGATCACTTACTTTTGAGATCGGGGTCTTTTTCACCATGGTTCGTAAAGGGATAAAGTAGGGTGTGGAACAACGCCGCTGACTAGCAATTTTCAAGTGGTTTGCCAGGTGTGGCTGCTGCTGCGGTGGGTGCCTTTTGCCTTCTTCCCGCTTGATCGCGATTGACGAAACGTCCACGACCAACGTCGACTCACACATCACAACAGCGTCTATATAACTGTTCTTTTTATCACGCGTCACCTTTATATTACCTTCTTGAAACGAATCAGCTCTTAATTATATCTCCATTTGCACATACCCTTATCACCATGGCTTCCGTCGTCATTGCTCTCGTCTTTTAAGTAATGGACCATAACTTCATACCATTCTTCGCTTCAACATTTCCCGGCTCGTTCGTGGTATCAAAAGGCTTCAAACACAATCTATTTCTTTGGTTTCTGGCAGCATTTTTCTCTGGCAGTATATACACACAGCTTGATAAGCATTGGCACCATCATCATCATCACTATACAACAACGACGACTACGACCTATTCAGTAGCAGAATCACTATTCAATCTGGCATTATCAACCGTATACCACGATGAACGCCAACGCTCCAACATTTGTTCCTTCCTCGGCCACTACAACGACCCCTGCTTCAGATGGCCAGAAGGCTTTGACTACTACTACCACTACCCATCATCAACATCTCCCTCGTGACAAGAAACAAAAACGCCGCAACAATCACCGCAGCAACAAATCAGCTCCAGCTACTACCACGCATGATCGTCCTTCCAATCACCAATCACCCCAATCACGTGCTAGAGAACCTCGATCTCAGAGAAATAAGAGAAACGATCATCAAGTGGAGGTATGTTGTTGTTATTGATATAGATACAAATCAAATCATATACTAAATGTGTTGTATATATAGCATACAGCACAATCACCACCCTCTGCCACTGTTGTGGATAAGAAAGGACGTGTCTCTTTGAATCATCTATTGAACTTTACGTTTCCTGAGAGACAAGCACCACCACCCACGCATGGACCAAGACGTCGACATGTTCAACATGCACCTTACAACAAAGAACGCTTCTTGAATGCCAATTTCCGTTTCATTGTGAGTGCGACAGGAGAATATCAGGTCCATTTGGCCGATCCAGATTGTGCATTTGAATGGCATACGGTTGAACAAGTATTATTGATTGCATCATCCGAAGAGGAACATGCTTGTCCTATCTGCCTATCACCACCAAGTGCTGCCCGAGTCACCAAATGTGGTCATGTTTTTTGTCTACCATGCGTTTTACATTACCTTGCTTTACGTGAGAATCCCAAACGACAATGGCGAAAGTGTCCTATTTGTTGGGATGCTATTTACGAGCGTGATATCAAGCCAGTGAAATTGCTAGTGAGCCCTTGGTCTGCACGCCGTATTCGTACAGGAGATCATCTCGACATGTCATTGATCTATCGTACTGCTGGATCTACGCTCGCATTCCCTATCTCGGATACATGGCCACTCCAAGACTCAGTAGTGGATGCTTACCTTGGTCGCAATACGCCACTCACACCATGGCAATTTACACCCGATGCAATGCATTTCGCTCGCTTCATGCTCGCTAGTCCTGATTATCTAAATGATGAGTTTTTGCGTGATCGATCCGAACTTCAAGAGGCTATCAAGGATGCTAAGGAATGGGGATCCACGGATGAAATTCCCTTTATTTTGGAGGCTGTCGAACGTGTCGATGTCGCTATTGATCGTGCAAGACGTCAACATAGTAAAAAGATTGACCTTGCTATCCACACATCAAAGACTATGTTTGAGGTTGCAGCATCATCTGATATCAAACCATCACCAGTGACTATTGAATCAGCTGCAGAGGAAAAATCATCCACGAATGAGAATCAGCAGGAAGAGAAAGCTGATGAAGTCCCAATGGCATATCTCGTACAGCAGCAGCATCATATTGGAAATGGCCATGCTAGTGATCCAAAGCAACAACAACAACAACAGCAAAAGCAGCATCAGCCATCCAACACAGCCTCACATGCAGACTACTACTTTTTCCAAGCCAATGATGGACAACATGTGTATCTACATCCACTCGATAGTCGTGTCATGAAGCATGAGTACGGTGATTATAGCCATTTCCCTCTCAAGCTACAAGTCAAAGTAGAAGGTGTTGAAGAAACTTCCATGACAGAGGTATGTTCAAATCATATGCTTACATGCGCTGCGTATTCATATTACTTTTTTATAGGATCTACGCAAACGATTCAAGTATCTTAGTCATCTTCCTTTGGCATGTGATGTGACATTCGTTGAAGTCGATTTGAAAACACTGGTCTCTAAAGCTACGCTCAATGTCTTTGGCAGTAAGTAAAGTGGATGGGTGGATTATCTGGCTTGGGAAAGAAAAGTTGCCAACTTTGGTCTATGTATCTTTTTCTCTCGCTATAGATGAACTCAAGCAGCGTGACAAAAAACGACAAGAGAGAGTGCGACGTGAGGAGCGTATGCGTAAAGCTGCTGAAGCACGACAAAAGAAGCAGACGCGTCGTTATGAGGAGGAAAATCGAAGATTGATGGATAGTGACCCCTTCTTCCAAATCAACCAACCTATGCGCCCTGAAGAGAATGATGAAATGTTGGCACGTGCCATTGAGATATCCACTCAGGAGCAGGGAAATTCAAGTGGACCGCGCACTGTATGGGGTACTCGTGCTGTACCTACACAAGAGGAAGAACAAGCTGCTCAAAGCAATGAATGGGCCGATCATATCATTATTACCACAAAGAAGAAGAAGAATAAGCATAGAAAAAAGTGAAAAAATACATGACGTGTTTTGTTTGACTCTCTCAAAATGATGCTGGGATGAATGTGTATGATGTAGTAATGACAAATGTACGCTATACCATCTCATTTTATTGGTGTAAAAAGCAAGGGAAGCATGTTCAGTGAAAGCGAGGAAGAAAGTGGATCATCAAATGTCTTGTTCAGCGAACGGGAATGTCTTCGTATTGATACATGGTCTCTCGAATGTTCGACAACTCGGCTTGGGATAGATTATGGCAACTCCGTGAGCATTGATGGTTCCAAGAAGGCGAGCCGCATCGATAACAGCTATGGAATGTGTGTGAGATTAGCTCGTATGGGCATTTGTTATCACATCACACTTACAATTCTCGCTTACAAGTGCATGTAACAGTGCTGCATCCTTCCTGTTTAATGAACACATGTACGTTGTATCAGTGTCAATGGTTCATTCGACGTCAAACATGGGAAAGCTTTTTACCTTTTTCTCGACCATCTCCTTGCAAAATGGACAACGTGTCCAACTATTTCTCTTTGCCAACTGCCGAGCTTGGATTGAATTCTCGCGTTCCTTTCTACGACGTCTCTTCTCCCCACCAGGGCGTTTCCATCTAGGGCCTCGGTTGTCCTCTTCATTGTCCTTGCATGTTATTCCTATATTCATACGACCTGTGTGTGAGAAAAGGGATGTCAAAAATAACAAAGAATGTGATGGAATACCCACCCGAATGCCAAGGTGTTTCACAGCGGAGACATATGCCTCGGGAACAATCGAAGCATTTTGCATATACGTGATGGTCGTCCTCATCATCTTCCCCTTCTGGAAAAAGCTCAAACGATGCGTGGCAATCAGGATATGGACAATAACCCTGTATTTGGGGATGATGATGATGACGTTGTTGAGCATAGAATAAAGGTGAAAAATGTCAATGGGTACTTACAACGCTATCCATGACGGTATTTTCAATGACCTTACGCCACCAATAGTGGGCCGAGTTGGGTGATGTTAACACAAGTGGCACAATAGCAATGGCGCTGAACGTGCCGGTGCAACTTTGTCGTGGACAAGCAATGCGCTCGTAGCTTTCTTGAGGGATATCAAGTTGCGTGTTCAAGTAGGTGGCAAGGCAAGCTTGGCATACAACGTCGTTGCAGTCTTCGGGCTTGAAGGTTTCTTGTTTGCGATGCTTGTCCAGGCAAATGCAGCAAGTGGCTGTGTCACCACCCGAAGACGAGGACGATGCTTGTGTGATGCTTCTGGTTATCATTGAGTGATGGACCAAAATAGAAAGACAAGAAAGATATTTGGCGTCTGTGTGAGAGGTGGGATTCTTTTTTATGGGAATCATCTAACAGTGGCAGATGACCCAAGGACTTTTGAGCCATAAATTTCCATGTGCTCGTGTGCTTCAAGTATGAGTAACAACTCCGGTAGATATCCACCCGATACCCGGTACCTTCATTCTTATTCTCATTTTCTGCAAGTTGCCAAAAGAAGTGCACTTGATCATCAACTCTTATGCAGTCATGTTTGGGTCTAGTCTCTTCTCCACACCATGCAAATAAACTCATTCATTGTTCATTGATGTACAAGGTGTGTACTTACAAAGCATACCCAAAGACAAGAAAGCAAGGATAATTATACGAGAGCACAAGAAAGAAGGTTGACTGTGCTACTTCCTATTTGTGATGGTTCTTCTGGAAAACATCATTTCCGCGTATGCGTAAACATGCAACACGCAATTTCAACAAATCGTCCATGAAAGGACAATGAAGACCACGCGACCTTGATTGGTCCGGGGTTATGTAGTATTTTAAGCACTGGTATCTATATCATTTGGCCAACCTTGTTTTCTGCACGCCCATTTTTCTTTCTACCTTTTCTCTCTCCTTCTTTTCCCCCCACACATTCACTTGGAGTTCTTTTACCACATTGTCTGTTCACATACCTTTGTATCTTTACCATGACAACAGCGATGGCCCTTTCAACACCAGCCACAGCTGCCACCAGTACCACAACAACTACAAGGAACACAGCCAAAGCCAAAAAGACATATAAAAGCTGGCTTAAGGATGGTGTCAATGGAGGTCCTTCCTCTATGGATGTGCTTGTAGGTTGGCTTGCTAATACGAGCAATTATGCAAAATGGCGAGGAGGAAGTTCATCGATAGCTTCCCTTGACGACGAGAACACCAGCAACAACAGTAGCAGTAGCAGCAATACAGAACAACGTACGCCCAAAAAGATTCTTCTCGAAGAAATTATTGAGAACATGCGACAAGTCGGGATCTACCATCGACATCCTAAAGATGTAGCAAGCAAGATATCCACACTACAAAGTAATTACCGCAGCGCCCGTGAATGGAATGAGACTGAAGGAAGAAGATTACGACAGGCAGGTTTCCACCCACAGACCATTCATGGTAATACTCACATTTATTATATGGATGGGTTGGGGGGTTGTGTGGTGATGGTGGTTGTCGGGGATAGGAAAAGAGTGTATGACATGTCGTATCTTTTCTCACGGCATGCACAAGTTTGTATGTGGGTTGTGTGTGAAGAAGAAAAGGAAAAGAAGGGGGTTCATGGTGAGTGTGTGGTGGTGGAGAGGTGGCGGCTGATTTGTGTTATAGACGAAAAAACAACCCGTGACACACTATCTCTGTATCGCACCTAGAGGAGCTTCTCAAACGATTCCCCTACTGGGATACCCTCAACGACAGCTTTTCAAATATCCGCACCCCACCAGCATGGCCCATGTCAATCAGCAGCATTATGGATCGCAATAATGATGACAATGATGATAATAGCAAGGAGCATCAAGAATACCATTATCATAGCCCACCAGACGACCATCCATTATCACCACCTCGAAGACGACGGCGTGTAAGCGATAACAACGTATCAAAGCAGCAGCAATCAATGATTGTTGAACCTGAATTGACACAGCCGTTGGTGGATATCAATGATGAAAAGGAGCCTGACAAAGCAGAGACATCACAAGAGCCCACGGCTGATTTCTTACGTGAAAGGCGAACAGAGCGTGAGCAACTTTTGTTTGAGAAGGAAAAGACGCGAAGGATCCGTGCTCAAGCGGACCTTGTCAAGAACCTCGTTGATGCTGGCTTTTCAAAGCAGGAGATTGCTGAACAACTCAAGCACATTTAAATCAACCTTCTCTTCTTCTCTTATGCAACCAAAACAGCATGTGTGCATCAACTTGTTTTACAAAACGAATAAAACATCCATGTGCGCCAGTGTTACCCCACAACCAACATGACAACAATTGTGGCTATGGCATGTTCTTATAGCCAAATATGGGAATAGCATCTTCATTGTTCATATAACTACTATGCACCCCAACATAGCTGATCACGCATCATTTCGTAATTCCCCAAAATGGAGATCGCTTTATTCACAAACGTAAACTGCTACGATCACAATGGATGATATGTACGTAGTAACCTACTTTGGCAATGGATAATGTATGCTTTGATAAATAGATGCAATGTTCCAGGGAATGGTTGGCTGTAGATGATACAATACATTTACTGGAAGCTTGAATTGCAAAAGACATGTATTGCAGGATCATACAATAAGAATCCGGGCATTCGGGACAAGTATAAAGCCGTCGCTTGTAGTACCAACAATGACACCATTTCATCCATTCCTTCTTGTATTTTGTTGCCGACGACGACCACTACTACTACTACTACTACATGCGCACAATGGCAGCACCGATTGAGAAACAACGTACAGTTGCGATTGTCACAGGAGCGAACACAGGTGTCGGCTACGGCATTGTACAACGGCTACTTGAAAAAGACTGCAGCATAAAGATCGTCATGGCATGTCGCAACCTTTCACGCGCCAAGCGTGCTCAATCGAGCCTCTTGGAGCAATTCCCTTTCGCCGACATTGACATTGAGCTTGTGGATCTCAACAGCGTGCGTTCAGTGCTTGAGTTTTGTGCCAACATAAAAGCCAAGTAAGTGTTGTGTGTGTTCTTCACCCCTGGTCTCTATCATAAGCTGACAACATTCGCATGCTGCTTGTGTAGGTTTGATCGGGTTCATCTCCTCTTTTTCAATGCCGCATCACTCATTACCTATGGTATCAATTGGAGCGACATCTTTTGGCTTTTCTTCAAGGATCCTGTTGGGCTTATGGAGCGCTCAGATGCAACTATTCAAGTCAGGGGTGAAATTAATCAAGATGGCATGGGCTCCATGTTTGCCGCTAATGTGTTTGGACACTATGTGATCGTAAGTGCATCATGGGCAACAACGATGGTGGTTGAGTGGATGTTAACCTTTTCTCGTTTAGGCACGAGAACTAGAAAAGGAGTTGGATGCTTCAGGGAATGGCCGTATCATGTGGACAAGCTCTTTGACAGCTGAAAAGCGTTTGTTTAACATTGACGATTGGCAAGGAGTGAAAAGGTAAGCTCTGGATTAACATGACCCAACATGACATTCACCTCATAACATTGGCAAAATAGTGTTCTTCCATACGAGTCTTCAAAATGGGCATGCGATTTAGTGGCGCTTGGAAGCAATGAAAAGTACAAGGAACAAGGATGCAAAATCGTGTCATACAGCACAGCCCCTGGCGTTGTTGCAAGCACCATTGGTAATCTTCCTTCATGGATTAGAAGCGTGAGGATCTGGATACATTACATTGTAAGTAGCAGCAATAAATGGAGAAAGGAGGAGCTGTCATGCGAAGGATATTGGACTCGGACCATTGGTTTCATGAATGGGAGATTCATTATGCATGATTTTGTTCTTAGTTCCGGTTTTGTGGTGTAACATCTCAGAATATTACTGGATACCGTGGAGCTATTGCCTCTGTTTTTGTCGCACTGCAACCGCATCTCGTAGACTATTTCGTTCGCTACACTTCAGCAACAACCGCTTGGGGTAGATCGTTCGTCACATTAGCACCTATAGAAGGTTACGATAAAAGAGAAGCTAGTAAACTTTTGCAGCATTGCGAGACGGCTTATCAAGCATGGAAAGTAAAGCTAGCTCAGGAAAAATAAAAGTTTACGCTTCGTTGATTATACCATATTAAAGGATACGTGTTCATCGCCATCGTTTGTACTGCATACCAATCTTATGGAAAACACAATAAAGCATGTTTCATTTGCACTATACATAGGATTCGGGTATATATAATAAGAATGGTGTACCGATCAAAGGATCAATAGTCGCAGGAGCTGCTATCGCCAAGTTAAACCTTCCCACTCCAAAACACACCGTCCACTCACATACAATACCCCATCATCACCACCATACAATAAAGCAATTTCAAGTCTCACGCTTCATGCACTTTCAAACAAAGACACTTTCGGGTGCAGTGATCATTTTGGTTTATTAACTATACCATGGTCAACTTAAAGTTCCATATGGGCTACCGTAGGCGGACCTAACTATAGGCGTACAGGGGCAAGTATCATTTATGCACTCTCCGCCAATAGGATCGACCCTTCCAACCCTGCCTTCCTGCTTGTTACACCAACCAGCCCTTCTGCATCTTTGGTGGTATATGAAAGGTGGTCTTAGTTCATAGACAAGTAGCTACACCATGATAGATCCAAAGATGCAGAAGCCATTGTTTGTGAGACTTGAGCCCAGGGGAACGAGACTTAAAGCGTCAATACTATTGGTGGTAAAATGCATGAAGTACCTCCATCCCTTATTGCAAGGTCCGCCTATGATAACCCGGTGGAATGGTTCGTTCTCATATAAGTTTGCATACGATAGCTTTAGCTGAAACTTATCATAGGTAAACATTGCATGTTAAAGTACTCATGCCACATTGTATCACAACTCGCCTTCCATATCTATTTCCCCTTCCGATCCATAAAGCAACCAGTGATCCACATCTTGTCCATATTAGCTGATAGTATGACCCCCCAATATATATTAAGTTGAATTCAATTTCATTCAATGAAAAAAAGTCGAAGAATAGCATATAGTAGTGTGGGTGTCTATAAGTAAATCTGATAAAGGAACAGCGTTGGAAATTGAAGACGACACGGGTTAAACACATAGAGGCAACAGGGATATTGGTGCCATTGTATTCTCGGTTGCTGCCGCCATAATCATCCTTCATCCATGACTGCAAAATAGCTGCTGCATGCATTGACTTGAGTATTCCAAATAGCATTCATGGCTGCAAATCACCTTTTCAAATATAAAAGCCCTGTCATCATTGTCATCCAATCCACCATCATCCTCAGCCGTATCCACTTAATATGATCCATCGTTCTTGATGACAACGTGCCAAGTAACCAAAGCAACATTCCAGGATTCACGATCACTGCACTTGATTGCATCCATCCACCCATAACCATGTTGGTTGAAAACAGCCACATGATTGCTGTATGCTTCCTTTTCCATCCACCTGTGGTTCCATCTCTTTCTTAATCAGTTTCCATCACTGCTCAACCAGGCAAAAGTTGCTTGTATTGCGGCGTACGTGATAGCTGGTATGGTGGCATCATCCGTTGGTATCCGTGTGTATCAAAGCAAGTTGCTGTACGTAAATAAAGCTGCTCCTGTGCAACGGCTATCTACTATTCACGTGAACAAGGCTGCAAGCAAAGAACGCTGTTCGAGACAATGAAATAAAGACCTTCATGAAAGCAGCTGCTGTTACGTTTGATTGCGCCAGAGGGATGCAAGAGAGCGTGTGTTGTAGTAGAATGACAGGGTTGCGATTGCTGTTTGACAGAATGCAATAAAGGCCTTGCTAATGGCAGCTGCTGTTACGATTGGTTGCATAGGAATGTGCAAGACAGTGTGTGGTGTCAAGGAAGGCGCGTGTTGTAGTGGGGTGTACACGCCATGAACTTGGCATTCAGTCAGAGACAATCGGATCAAGGAAGTTGTACGATTGGCATGATGGGTTGAAGCAGGACAATCGTTCGCAGGTGGTAGTTGTATACTTGAATGGGCCAACAATTGAGAATGGGTGGAAAAGGAAGTAGCTGGGAGTGGAAGAAGTGGGAATTAAGCAGGTAATAAGACACTCCATGGAAAGAAGCCATATGCATTGTTTATCCACATGGACTTGGTTAGTTTAATCCTCTCTTGTTGCTTAAGGATTATAGCTTAGTGGTGCAAATAAATGTGGTTACGCTATTAATGCATGTTTGATACAATAAAGAGAGGATGACCTTAACAGAAAAAGTGCTCCTCCATTGAGATTCAGGAACTAGGAATGAGTGACCAATCAATGTTCTTACTGCCATGTCCGTGCGCATTGGATTAATTGGGGTTCATGCATCCCGATCCCCTACAACATCCTAATGTGATTTGGGATCTAGTACCTGTCATACACATACCTTGGTACATCTTATTGGATGCTGTTTACACACCTTCCTAAAAACAACCAACAACCCATTTGTGCCATGAACTTCCAAAGATGTGTGAGTTGTGGCCACCACGTGGCATTACGCCCTCCCATTCAATTTTTATAATGAAACATGAGGTCTGATCATGCAATGTCATATTGGAGAGAAAGGTAAACCATGCTTGTTTGTACCGTTGTCATTATCGTTATTGTTGTGGTCTTTATTAGTAGAAGAAAACTCATCTACAACAGGTCGCATAATCAAATCACCATCGATACCATCACGTCTAGGGATCGAAAAAGGTGTTCTCGTTTATCCTCCCCAACAAAGAAATAATGATCCCCATAGTCCTAATATTCAATGAGTGACCGCCAACATCTATCATAGTGATGATGCATTGATTTATTCAAGAGATACAGGCTAAGGAGAGATGATGCCCAAAGTGCGCCGGCTGATCCAAAACCTAGTATTCAACATAACAGCATCACTCATTTTTATCATAAACGGCTTTGTAATCGGTGATTCGTTTATTGTGCATTTGCCTTTTCCATATACACAGAGACCTTTCTTGTTGGTTGCTATAGTAACCGAAACCATGATGTAGTGTAGTTGAGCCGAAACAAAAAGCCAAATGAGCCAACGCCTTTAGATTCAGTGTTGCCATCAATACAAGCTAACATGTCAATGGAACAAACTCTGCTGCAACATCCGGTTTTGACTGTAGTGCCTTGGTGCACAAAACGTAGAGCGGCATGGCAACGAAAAAAAGCGATGGTATCTCCATGGCTACAACCACCCCCTGGCCCCCTGCCTATGAACACCCATTATTATACTAATACCCACAGCCTTTCCATTGCAAACAAGAGCATCCTTTATAAAACATACTATCTACGGCTGATTTCTAAAAGCATCTACCAGGTATTCATTCATTTCTTGTTCAGACAGATCCTTGTCGCTCAAATTGATGTCGTTCAAATCATGTCTTGGTTTTGGCTTGAGAATTTGCAAGGCGCGAAGTGGCAGATCACTGGGCTTCATTGTTCGTATTTCATCTTCGGGGACACCTTGTTCAAGGAGGATTGCAGTCAACCTGATCTCTGGTTTAATGGTGTCATGATCAATCGTATTTCCATACAATTGAAGGCCACGTGCTGCTTGGATGAGCTTGTCTTGATATTTCCTCGCTTGTTCGCTCTTTTTAAACGAAGGAGGGGCGGTCGCATCATTGATCCCCTTGGCTTTTTGTATACGGCTGAGGTATCTTCTTGTGTTGTCATCGTCGTTGATAATCTCTTCAAGGACCTCCAATGAAATGGAATTTGGATTTGAAGAACGTGAGCTTGATGCGTAACGTCCAAACAGCAATCGCGCACGTTCAAGTAACATTTTCAGAAGCTCGTTGTATCTTTTTTGAAGCCCTGTTCTGCTGCAGCCAATATAGTCAGCGAGTTGTTGGTATTGATGAAGGGTGCAACAGGTTGAACGTGTCATAGCACATGCTGCGATAGCCATGCTTGCAGTTGATAGCAGCTTAAAGTGTCGACCATGCGTTAATCCATTTTTGTCTGCCAATGCAACAATTCCTTGGGCCAAGTGCTTAAAACGTTGACGTATGTGCCCGGGTATGAATGGTGGGTCGTCATTGTCGTTTTGTCGAGATGGACGCAACATGATAGAATACACTTTGGTTGTCAATTGATCAATGAGGATATTGACTCGATGAGAAAGCATCTGCTCGTTGCTGTGACCTTGGGAAAGCAATGGGTCTTGTGCTGCGAACCCCAATCGTTTGATACGCTGCACGCCTCTGTTCAAATCTGATACTGGTATCATCAATTTACTCGCAACGTCGACGATCGTCAAGTCTGGTCGATTGTCCGGGATCACCAGGTAAACCAATGCTGCCGCTATCAGATCAGGGTAGCGTTTGATCTCCTTACGATAACGAAGGTATAGGCAACAAGCATCCTCCTCATTCGCCTCCACATTGAGAACATGACAATATTTGTGGATCGTCTTGAATAGGTTCTTTTCCTAGAAGAATAAAGTGGTTGATCAGCTGTGGTCTCAATGCGTTCCTTTTACTTGTCTCCAACACTTACTGCTCTCTTTAAATCGTAAGCTTCCCATTTGCGCTTTAGATCTTGGGACATGAGGACATGACAAAGAAGACGATTCTAGCTGAGTTGCAGCTCCCTTTTCCTTATGCAATTTGCCTCTGTTTCCAATGAAGATCAGCTACAATACCAGATGATATTAGATGTGATGGAATATTTATTTATTTACTTGGGAATGCTGTTTATGGACAAGTTGTGTGCAAGGTCATATGTGTATGTGAAGAGATTAACAATGAAAGAGAAGGAGTACAATAAGTGAATGATAGATAAATGTTAACGATGCGCTGCCGCCATGTGTTTTGGTGTCTCTGGTTTCTTGACACTGCCCTTCATCATCATGCGCATTTTGTTTCCACCAAGCTTAGGTGCAGTGCCAGCTGTGCTATCCTGTTTCAATGTCGCAGGCTTGAAGGACATGTTGAGCTTGATCTTGCCCCCATTTTCCTCGGTGCGTTGAAGTTCAGTAGGCTTCTTCTCTTGAACACCACGTTCCTCAGCCTCTTTGGCAGCTCTCTCCACTTGTTGCTGTAATAATTGTTGATCCCGTTCCTCAGCATCTCGTTGTTGTCGATCCATCTTTTGAATAGCAGCCTAAGATGAATAATAAAAAAAAACCAATCAGCATCCATAGATCTCAACTACAAAAGGAAATCCCTTACCTGTCTTGCCAATGCTTTGGGGCTATTATCAATCCAAGTAATGTACCAGCCATTCTCAGCCTCCTCCACATGACAAATGCCTTCTCGACCAAGATACTTGACAAATTCACTAAGACTGTTCCAACGAGTAGCGTTCATGTGGATGTGATTACGATCGGCAATATACTCTTGATACACTTGATTGGCAAACACTCGCTTCGTTCCATGTGCTCTTGATAATAGGCTGAGAAAGTCCTTTTTGAACATGTCAGAGTAGTTGTGTACAAATCGACCAGGATTCTCGGCAACAAGCAACATTTGTCGTTGGTGGGATTCAGACATCGTGTGGCATTTGAAGCCGTTCTCATCTCGACATTGCTTTTCGCAGACTTGACAATAGAATTTGAGCTTGAGAAGACCCTTGGCCTTGATGCGATTGGCAATTGCTTTGGGTGTGAGGAAGCCACCGCTTTTTCCCATAGTAAAAAAAGTGAATACACAAAAGAGAGGGAGTAAGAAAGAGAGAGAGACAGCGATCGCTAGGGCAACCAACCAAAAAGAAGATAAAGCCGAAGCTCCGCAGTGAGCTCTCCTCCTTATTATAACATCGACTTGGTTTGCGAGCCATTCAAACATGCTTTTCTCGCTTTCATTGCTTTCCTTTTACCATTTACGTCAGCTGATGCTATCCTGACCACGGCCTTTTTCTACGCTCCTTTCTCATAAGATTTGCCCTTTGGGCTGCCCATTCTCCTTTCTTTGGGCGTAAGTACTACATACTACTACTACACACATCCTTTTCTTCAATACCATTCTCTTCTAACTTGTATTATTAGGTCTTTGTCGTAGCCGACGACAGCAGCACCAGCAGATGCTGGTCGTCTCCCCTCCTCGCCGCTTCGACTGCTTTGGCGGTCGTTGTCTTTTCCCTCGTCGTCTTTGGCGAGGACTATGTCCCCCTTAGACATTATGTGGGCAACATATGCGCGTGTCCAAGACATGTTGCATGCACACTCGTCTCGTATGTGCAATCCAAATCCTCCTACGGCGATGGTAGGCAAGTATCTATGCACATGATTACCCGGATTTTCTACTGCTGTCAAATCCATTGTCTCCATGCTCTATTACTAACCACACTTTATATATTACAGCGAGTTACCTGCCATCGTCGCCGGGGGCTGGTGGCGACTTTTTGTTGTCCTAACTATGCCCCAAAACCCCGGGCTCTCACTTGGGGTCCCAGGTCATCAAAGTATACACGTATCCAAGAACTTGTCCGCTGGTGCTACATGATCGGTTCCCTTTCACACTCTAATAAATAACCTTATTTTTTCTTTTTCTTTCTCTGCGTGTTGTGCGTATGTATTATTGTTGACGCGATAATAATTCTTATCTTATACTTGTTGTTTAATTACACTATACATGAAATGAGAGGGCTAGAACGAAAAGAAATGGAAGGGGGATCTTTGTGTAAGAGTGAGAGAGAGATGATCATGGCAACTACTAGATTAGTTGTTAGATGATGATGAGGGATTCTCTATGGGGATATCACTTGGGGAAACATCGGGGCGAACCTTGACATACACGCCACCAATGATTTTAAGCGCGTAAGCACGGTTCTTGCGCACCTCCTTTGAAACGGATGGATCACTCAACACCTTGTCACACACATCACGCAACACGCTTTCAACCTCAAGTTTGGATCCTCGCCAAATAGCCTCAAGACCTTTTTGTGCTGCTGCCTCTTCAAGCTTGGAACGTTGCTCTTCCGATAAATCTTCCTTTTGAAGCTCGCTGAAACTCGATTGCAAATCAAGGGCAGTGCGTAGTGTGCCAACTGTCTCAGAGAAAATGTACCCCTTTTCGCGCACAGTGTGGAACATGCCGCCCAATCCAAATGCAATGTTCTTGCCAAGATACTGGTTGGCCTTCATGATATAGGTTCCACCGATCGCATGTAGCAATTCCACGCCATAATTCTCGTATTTGAGGTCCTCTGATTCGATTTGAATAATGTTGGTGAAAGCTGCTTGTCGACTAGGCGTCATATCATCTTCGGTATATAGGTTGAGCTTCTTGATCAGCTTGCCAACAAGGAAATCCACACGCTTTGCTCGAATCTCAGCACGCTCCTGCTCCTGCTTCTCTTTTTGTGCATCTCGCTCGGCCTTTTGTTCAGGTGTCAAATTCTTCTCTTCCTCATCCTCTGCTGTTTCAAGTGCTTCTCGCATATCCTTTCCAATAGAAATCTCGCCAATGATATCCACAAATCTCTCTCCACCAAACGATTGACGGAAGAACTCCTCAGGATCCATAAATCCATTTTCAGGCTTCTCTTCACCATATTCATTGTACTTTTTCCTCAACTTGGGATCTGAAAGAACTTGATACGCCTCGGATATTTTCTTGAACTAAAAGTATGATCACGTATTAGCTATCCTTGAAGATATGAATATACACATGAACGCATGATCCAAATACCTTATCCTCAGCAGTCGGATCGTCCCGATTCTTATCCGGATGATACTTGATAGCCATCTTGCGATATGCCTTTTTGATCTCTTCAGGAGTTGCCAAGGGGGATACACCGAGCAGATCATAGTATTCGGTTGATACAGGCTTTTCATCTACAACGATGTGACATTTAGGATATAGGTATTCATTCATTCCTTAACCTTCTCGCCACCCCACTTGGTCATACTCGTTGACACAGCCATTTCACTATATCCTCAACGTACCTGTTCCTTTCCTCTGCCATGATCGGGAAGCTGATTTGCCGTTGTTCTTCTTAATGTCGTTTCCTGAAGCATCTAGCTCGTACGAAGAGATCTTGTCGCAGGACCAGCATTTGACTTGGACTTTTTGATTCTTGAGACCGGATTCAGGAAGGAATTCCAGGGCGTTGCGGCATTCTGCACATGTGGCCTTGATATAGGGCTCTGGTCTTCTCGAAGCGTATACGGTCATTTTTTCCCGAAAAAAAAGAGGAAGAGAAAAGATACAAGTATATCACATGCCGCTGTTTCAAATCCAAGGTCCCTTTGATCAAATGTGTCAGCACCATCCCTCTGCTTCCAAATCAATAGCACAGTGTTTGCATGTATATCTCACCTCACTTATCCTTGTCATTGCCAATAAACGTCCTCATAGCTCTATTGTGACCATCACATTATCATCTTACTATTCTCTTCAGTCATTTGAAATCCATAATCCCATCCCACACATCGTCCTTGACAACAATGTAATACTCTCTCCATTCCACGTGATAACCAATACCAAGAAATCCTTATGCTACAACATCATTTCACGTGATATTGGATCATGCAACAGCATATGGCGAGGTGCATTGTTTTAGGTCACCTTCTAGCAAAAACCAAAGCGTAATCCGCTATCTGGGTTTCAAGTTGTCTTCCTCACGTGGCTACATGCATCCTCCTCTGCATGCTTGCACCTGATACCTCGTGCATTAAACAACCTATAAACGATGCAAATCATGGGTTAGAAGATCCACAGATCTATACTTACCCTTACATAGCAGCCTTGTCATCCTTTTTTTCTAAAGTGAGCATAAGAGACTCGTGATTAGCGCCTCATAATGGGTGTGATACTCTCGATGTGATCGTTTTGATTTTGACTCTTTCAGGTCTTGGCTAAGAAGGTCATGTGCGCTGCTATTGCTGTTGCTGTTTGCTCAAGGTGGATGTCGATGGCATGCAACTGGAAGACCAGCCATTTTGGGGTAGTGAGCTATATAAAAAGGCACGCATAGTGCATTCAGCTGGATGGGTGGTCCATATTGTTTATAGGTGTTATGGATTTGTGTATGCTGATTTAGATGCAAACGATCTTGACCACCCTTTAAGAGTGAACGCATAGAGATTGAATGAATGGTGCATTTCAACTCTCGACGCTTCTGACAAAGCCTTATTGAAATGTACAAATTCACGTTGCCAGGACAACTATAATGCCAAGACTTGGAGATGCCATGACCACACTATATTGCCTATATCACCAACAAGGTCGTATATTCAAGTTGGGGTTCATCTTTTGCTTCCAGTGGTACGAGGTATGCGTATCATCAATTCATTGTTGTATTTCATTTTATTATGATGGAGCTCATTGTTACTCAACAACATCATCAATAAAAAGACTAACAGGACAATCATACATGTATTCAAAGATGGTGTTCAAATATCACAAAGACACCAATGAACAAAGACTAATGTATGAGCACCAACAAGGGCCATTCTTGGATGTGAGTGTGATGTCTCTTTGCAGCCTGTGATAAGTTGATTTACCGACACGAATCCAGAAAGTTTTTTTTGGAGGCAGCTTGCTCGTCGACACTTCTCTCAGACACACACACATACCGCCATGGTGAAGAACAAAAAGAACAGCAAGCAACACGACAGCCCGGCATTACAGGATTTCCTCGGATTCAAAGTGCTTCCAGTGTTGGTAGACGACAACTGTCGACATTATATCTACATGCGCAAACACGAGAGTCGCAACTCGTTCCACCAAGCAGCCGATCGCACTCTATTTGTTGTCAATCTACCTGTCGATGCCACCGAAGCCTCACTCCAAGATCTGTTCACACCTTATGGCACCATTGTATACGTCCAATTCCCCGGCGATCCAGCCTATGAGCCACCTGTCAAACCAAAGACAAAGGCTGCACGCATGAAATTGAAACAGCAACAACTTGAAAAGGAAGCAGCTGACAAGGCCAAATGGCGACATCTTTTGCATACTGGTGCTAGCGCGCACATTGTTTTTCAAAGTGAAGAGGAGGTGGATAAGGTGCTTGATATGCCCTCTGATGATATCAAAAGGTGGAAGACTGGTAAATCATCCGATCAACCTTTGGGTTACAAACGTAAGTGAATGCATGCTGTATCATGGAGACCATCATCTTATTCAGTTGCCTAGGATACATGATGCATTACAAAAAGATTCGCCCCGATCCCAGCTTATTACAACAGCAAGTGGATACATTCATGAGCAAATTCAAGGCTGAAGAATATCAAAGAGAGCGTGAGGAGGAGGAACGTCGTAACCAAATGGATGAGGATGGCTTTACAGTGGTGACACGGCCCAAGAAGAAATTGGTGGCAGATACACCTGAGATTGTAGTCAAGAAACCACGAGAATTCCTCGACTTTTACCGATTCCAAGTACGAGAAAAGAAGCAAAATGGTAAGTTTTGGTTGTGACAAGGACGCATACGTGGTATGGGGCTAATGCATCATCATGGTGGTAGAATTGAGCGAATTGAGGAGACGCTTTGAAGAAGACAAGCAAAAGATTGCCAAACAAAAGGAAGCTAGGAGGTTCAAACCGTATTAGAGAATGGATCATTGTTGGAATAAATAACAAAAGCAGACAAGAGTGAGTTTGGATAGGAAAGGGGGTATGCTGTGCGTAGGTGCGATTATTAGATTGATGCAATGAATACAATGGGATGTTGTATGTATGTATGGTGGTGGGTGAGCGTGTGTTGTGGGTTTGTTGTATATGATTGTAGGAGTAGTAGCTTCTATAATAAAAGTGTTTGAACGTTTTCATGGAGAATGCTGTCAGATACAGAGTTCATCACATGGCCCAAGAGCTGGGTATCAGTGGCCACTGTGTAATGCACGTAGATTTGCTTCTTGGTATTTCGATTAAGCAGCTCGAACCTTTTACGGAAATAGTCAATGGCATGCTCGTAACTCTTTGACGGACCTACAATAACAAGCACATGTTAATAAACGAGGAATCATGCATGTATGCATCATCATATTCTTGGGGTTACCTGAGTAATCAGGAAAATAATGCTTGATAGGTGAGCGACGAATCTTCTTTTTGAAAATATCAACCTTGTTTAAAAACAGGATCATGGATGTGTTGGTAAACCATTGCGAATTGCATATCTGGTCAAATAGCATGAGGGCTTCGTACATCTTTGGAGATACATTCGGTGAGTATTCCGCTCTTTCCTTTTATATCCCATTTGCATTTGTACCTGATTCTGAAAGAGATTTCAAGGTGAGAAATGAAGTCTTTTTCCTTGTCACCCACCACCCCATGAGAAATTCACACTTGTTTACTTACAGAATCACGATCCTCCACTAAACAGCAATCGTATCCACTAACAGCTACCACAAACAATACGGATGCCACGTTCTCAAAGCAATGTATCCATTTTTTGCGTTCACTTCGTTGACCACCCACGTCACACATGCGATAAATGATGGGGCCATTTCGAAAGGTCGTCTCGACAATACCTTAGTAGCATGATGATTTAGCTTGGCATACCCAACTTTGTATATTGAACATCCGCCTCGTCCTTACCTGTGGTTTTTATGCGACATTGAATGATGTCTTGATCTGTCGGGCTATAGTCGGGCCTGAAGACGCGATCAATGTGGTCGTAAAAGCTGCGGGATAACACTTGCATCAGTCATCATCATCCGATGTTATCAATGTGTCACTGTATCTCGTCTTACAATTGTACATTATCCGAAAGCGCAAATGTGTTGCCACGTCTAAACGTATCCTGGATACCCTCATCCGCCCATAAAGATTTCAATGGTTGTAAATATTCCTGGGGATATGGCATGCCTTGTCTTAGGATGGGTAGGTTTTCAAAGAGTGAAATGTATGGCTATCATGATTTCAAGGGGGACAGGATAGCACGTGTCAGTATACAATATGACTCCTCAGCAAGTCTTTTTAATGCAAGTTACCCAGTTGGCTTGGTTTTGAAGCGTTAATTGCATTTCAGTCATCGACTCGAGCAGCGATTGCATAGCTGCTACGATATTGCCGAAAATCACCATACGAAAGGCTTCTCGTTCAGCTGCTGAAAATCCGGATGCGTGGATTAGGCGCATTTGTTTTAGTACTGTGGATTTGCCCGAATCGCCGGCACCTGATATTGAGTCATATAGATTAGCTGATGAGATAATAAACGCGCCAAAGCTGTCATAGTTACCGAGCAATAGAATCTTGACTTCGCGATTGAGCCGTTTCTGATCTCGTTTGATTTGCTTATCGATCGCTTTGCTTTTGTTGGCACTGTGATTGTTGCCCATTGCTGGAAAGTGAATAAACGACGTGTGTTTTGAAGATACAAAAAAGAAAGAGGCGAAAAGGGATCCCGTCCAAAAAAATCGAGGTCTTTACTATTGACAGATCTTATTATAGGCTTTGCGCTTAATAATGTGTAAATGGATGTACCACGGTGCTTCCCATATTTCGCATGCGGCTCATGCTCCCTTTGACCCAAATCTCGGCACTTGAGCATTACCACCATTTATAGATTGACCAATGCGCCATGCATCCCACTAACACATCATGTACACTGGAAAGCAACCAGCTGCTATAGTAGTGAGGATAGGATGGTCGCTGTTTTCTCTATTGTGATTTTCATATAACAAATGGTTTCATTTACCAGCGCGGACCAGCGGAAGTGGACTAGCGGCGCGCCAAAGCGTGTTCAGGTACTTTATTAGTGGAAAACGGAGGCAAAAAAGAACCACCTTTTACCTGGTACCTGGATTTATCATAGCTCATAGATGATCTCTCACCCTTCAATACAATGCTATTCCAATTTGCCTTGCAAAAGAATCACAAAGATGTATCACTCGTTCATAATAAAGTTCATTTACGGAGGACAAAACGATCGGCTCTCCGTCTCCACATCCCATATACGATCATTTAACTCCTCCTCCGATTCATAGTTGCTGTTTCACAAGGAAGAAAAGGAATGATCGGAGCTCGCATCATCCACGAGCTCGGTGCGCGCAATCAAGTAAAAAACAGCGTAACAGCTAATCTGGAAACAGTAATCATTGTTTGCTATCCGCCGATCAATATTGGCAATCAAGAGCTGCTTACATACAATGATTTGCATCTGAAAATGTAAAGGTTGCCACACCCAAATCTCTTAGTAATTTTAAGTTTTGGCCGCCTACAATGTTGGCATGCCAACATAGCTTTCCAACCTACCTTCTTAGTTAATGGATAGAGGTTGATGTCTTCTACCAAGGTTCTCTTTCTCTCAAAGGCTGCCTATAGATTATAGTAGGCAGCTGCTTGGGTGCCGTAATCACGATAATCCCACCCACCCACAGCCATTGGAGTAATTTACTTCAATCACCGATCCAGCCATCGTTTCATTGTTAACATTGCCCACAGCAAATTACATACATATTGATTGTCCCTATTCTTAAGCAACCAAGATCTATACCCAAATCGAGATGCAAGCTTCAAGTTTCTTTGTTCGTCTTACTATAAAGATTCCAACATTGAAGACTAGAACATGAACACAAGCTGTTTAATCATCGTGCAAGATTGTTAGCAATGATGATGATGTTCATCTCTTAGAGATTGCAACCACCGCTACCACCACCCACATTGTGAAACTTGAAGATTGCATTGTATGATTAATGAGGCGACTTTGATCATTGCAGAATGTCTTTACATTGGATCAAACGATTTGGCTGACTTTATTCCACTACGGGTTATTACCACTACGACTATGACACATAAAACCACCTTTGCCACCTTTGCCATTCACCCGGATGCAACTCCTGAGGAATACCTAGCACGAATGGCAGAAATCCAGGCCAAAAGGGACCGCCTTATTGAAGAACTTGTACGATTGGAACGGCGCATGGATCGTCAATTAGCAGAGAAGAAACAGATTGACCAACACATAAGAGATTTTGACGTGGGATACAAGAAGGTGGTTAGCGAAGAGCATTTTCGACGATACCGAGAGATAGCCGATCGAGGAGACGAAGCAGCTCTGATAAAGTTCTTTGAAGATTCGATCCGTGCACGGGAAGCACGCATGTCTCGGCGACAGGCCCACCAATGATAGCACGCAACATATGGAGCAAATAGACGACGAGCATGTAAATGATCGAGAATAGAAGATTTTCAATGATCTGATTGTATACATACATGTACTTCTCCATCCCAAACAATGCATTTGCATACATTCTGTTAATCACGTAACTTTTATTACGCTATTACATGTTGAGATAAGATGAGGTTTGGGTAGATAGCTTTGGAGAAAAGAGAGGGACTTGACCAATCAAACGAGCTCACTTTAGCAGATGTTATTATAAAAGATGGTTCTTTATTCATTGACTTCAACTAAGAGGCAATTGGTTTCCACAAATCTACAAAGTCTTGTGTACTCACAGGAATGACCAACGTGAAGGTTTGCCTCACCATTCCCCTCCTTTAGCTAGATGCACTAATTCATAGCCAGGAGGCAGCCAGGCCATTGCCGGAGCTAATGTGTTGGCTGCTTTCATTTCGCTGGTGGAATATCCAAATACCTTCCCCTCATCACTTGTATGTATGGATAATCCACCTCACAGTGCTCTGCTGGAATAATCGATTTGTGGTGGTAGTTCACTTGACCGGGAACTGGTGTTCGTGATAAGAATGTTCGTTTGTGGTAATAGGGCGCTTGTCGTAGTTGGTTGGCTTGAACGAGCGATCGTATCTACATTGCAAAGGGCGGTGGGGAGGAGTAAAGAAGAAAAAAGCCCCAACTGATAAACAAAGCGCCTTATAACGATATTTGGTTTCAATCCCGCTTCCCTCTCATCACGTTTGATTGGTGCCTTGTAGCATCAGGTGGATAGATGTGGATGCTTTTGGAACCTATTTCATCATTGGATGTAAATACAGCATGTAAAAATACCAATTAAGTACATTGTGGTGTACTTCTTGAGAGCAAAAAGTGAAAATGTAGCCTGTGATGCGCATGGTAAGACATAAAACAATGAAGCGGAGACAAGTGTGTCTTACTTTATAAAGTATAATTGAGTGCACGAACCACTGTGCTCGTGTAATTAAACGTGGACAAGCATTCTGCAACGCTAATAGTATGATTCGACTTAATCGCTTGTAACTTCCATTCGACATCACAGCATTTGGTTGTCAATTGTAAAGGTCCGCAAAGGATGAAGAACGCTGAGTACGGAATAAAGGTGCGAATGATAAAGGAAATTTACACAAGAGGGAGGAGGAGGAACAGAGGTGAAAAGCAAGGATGATGACATTACAGCGTGCGTGTATCCTCGACAGCGTATCACATGAAGAAAGATTGACGCGTTCCTGTGTTGTTGACGGAGGTGGTAGCTTTTTACTTTCTCCTTCTTTATCCTGTGACACGCTCGATTTACCGAACTTGGCGGTGACAGCGACATGGTTAAGCCTTGTCCAAATGCGAGAAGCAATTTACGTGATACGAGTAAAAAAACGTGCAGAGATCTTATCTCTTCCAAGCCTCGCCATCTTACTTTTTGTAATAGTGGATGCTTGTTCAGCAAATGAACGAAGCAAAAGGGGTCTAGTAAGATTTCGGTATTGCTTTGAGTGGATGTTGCAAGGGTAATCCATCCATAGCATGTGGGATAACTCGATGTTGTTACAAGATGTATTACGTTGTGGCTTGCATTGAGCAATGATTAGATGGCTACTGAACGTGAAGGAAGGAAATCAATGGCAGAGTACGACTATGGATCCGGAAGGTGTTTTACAACAAGCATTGGTGGGCTGCGTGGAGCACACATCCACATGTCAGGTTGCTGGATCCTTACTCTGTCAAAGCAGTCTAAATTTGTGGTCTCATTTCAGTTATCAAACCTCTAAAGGTAAGCATCATTTTGTTTGGCAGTACAAAGACACCATCCATGGTTGCCTATGGCAACCGCCGATTCGATACACCGTCCCATATTAACAAGATGGATCACCAACGCAGCATAGCCAGGGCTCCGTAGATCCTTATGAAAATCGCACCCAAGGCTTGGTCTATTCGTATTATATCCATCCTCATCTCCCATCTTCGTATTCTTTAAAATCTCCTCTTCTCCGTCAGCAAGATCTCAAGAAGTGTAATTTCATAAGATTGAATCACCACCACCACATTAATGGTAACATCTATGTTGGCTAAGGATGACATACGTGTGAACCATGGCTTACGTAGTTTATTGAGAAGGCAGCTATACTAGATACATAGTATCCAAGCGACGTAGTAGTAGGGGGAGGAAGAAGACAATGAAGCATAATGAGAAGATCAAAAAGAAAGAATACAAAAGAAGCGTGAAACAAACGTGTAAGCTGAATGAGAACATTTGATGCAACACCTGCTCGTTTATGCAACATGACTGACCTCTCAAGAGACTCACACCCAAAGCATTGTCCATAAAAGGAACTGGCAAACCTTGGTCGGGGATATCATCATCGTCATGCGCCAAGTTGTGAAGCTTCATCCTCTTTTATTCTCGTCTCTACACTTTCACCGCACACACACGCCCATTCACACACACTGTCCCGCATCTCAACGACATTACGATCGCCATGCAACTGTATCGTTCCGAAACAGGCTGTCAGGTGTCATGGGACAATACCGACATTATAGACAGGTAACCTCTTTTTCGCCGCAGCGTCAACGTCCTTTATTGTCAAAGCACTCTAGCTAATGCTCTCCTTATAGTCTTGATGCTTTCAAAAGCAAAGTGCGGCAATGCACCGGCATCGAAATCGAGCGTCAGATTCTCATGACAAGCTTTGGAACACAAGTCAAAGAAACGAATGTCAAGGAGGTGACGACAGCTTCAGGACAAGTAAGTGAATGAGAGCGTGAGTGAGTGAGTGAGTGTTGTTATGGCTATGGTTTCTTTGACGAGCGCTTACAATACAAATTAGGAGGAATACATTGTCTTTGTATACGATCGAGAATATCTGTCAGCTTCTGAAGAGCAAATGTTGAAGCTTATCGACGAAGGAACGCCAAGACTCGAGCCAGAGATCCGTTGTTTTGATGGTAATTCCTCTTCTTCTCTTTTTGTATGTGTATGATAACATCCCGTTGCTCACACCTTCATTTCAATGTAGATGCCGCTTCACGTTCTGTATTGGAGACAATCAAAGATGTGCAAAGCAATGATCTTGGTTACACTTGCAAACTCTACTTGAGTCTATTCTCACATTTTGACACGTGTGCTCAGGTGAGTAAGAAGAAGATAAACGTCATCCTTCCTTATCATAACGCCATTGTTATTTTAGAGCCTGATAGAGGTTATCGTCATTCATACTCGGCTTGCGCAAAGGGTGGTTGAGGAGCAAAAGAAGCAATGGATGGCACTGAACGTAGCAATGACGAATCTCAGGTCACACAATACGATCGCAGAGGAAAGCGTCTCTTCACTCTCTTCAGGTGTTCAAAAAGATCTCACCAAACAATCAACATTGACCGATGCAGCTGATATGAACATACGCATCCTGAAAAGCATCCGCATACATCCAGCCATCCTGCAAGCGCTTGGTGAATCTCGATCACAACAGACGTTGATGGATTATTTGGATATGGAAGAGCTTGAAACATCAAAGAATCGATCACGTGAATTCTGTACAACACTTGAGCATGAATTACAAGAACTTCGATCGGGTGCCAGCATGCTACATCACCATGCGAATGAATTGCAGCAACAAATCACCGATAATCAAGACCCCTTATCACTTGACTCAGGCGTCTCTGATATCCAAGGAGTACAAGAGAAGGCACACTTTCTCAGTGATCAGATCAATCGCAATGTCAGCCGTGTTTTCACCAAAGTCTCACGCCTCATCAATATACCCATCACATCACTCACCAATCAAATTCCCGACATCAATGATTCAGTTGCTTTATCATCATCATCGTTTTCTTCATCCACAACACCTTCAACGGAGGCACGAGATCAATTTAAGATGATTTACGACTTGGCAGTCATGTATATCAATGAGGAAATACCAAAGATAATCACCTATGAGAAGCGTATTCGACGTAAAGCTGCTGATTTGATTGGTGCAAAACGGCAAAGTGTTGTTCGCTTCCTCGAGTATATGCACCGAGTATCCGATTTGCAAAGCGATATTGCCAGCGTCATGTCTTACGTGGAATCAATACGAAAGTGGAAGGCTGATTACAAGCGCACGAATGGTGGAAGGAGCTTGGAGGTAGCTGAGGAAGTGATCTATGCTTATGTAAGTAATTCAGGGCCGAGCAATTACATTGGCATTGCAACCAACCTTACATGATCGTTTAGGCATACCTACTATTAGAAATGGCACGTCGGAGAGAATACTCAACGGTAAGCGTGATAAAAATGCTGCAACAGTTGATGTGTTGTTACTCATCATCATTGTAGATCCTCTTGGAGAATGCAAACGCCACAGCAGACCTCTTGGCAAGCTATCGCACAAAGGAGCAAAAACGACGAGACCGATTCTTGCGTAAATACATTGGGATGTTGCCATTCAAGGTTTCAAGTAAGTGAAATTGTGGTTATTATTGTTCACTGTGGATGCTGTTATCTCACTCGAAATCATCCTAGTAGTTGAAAATGATACCACCCCGCATTGTGAGATATCCACGGTCCACCTCGAGAGCGATCGACCTGAAATTAGTCGCAGCGATGTCATTGGTAAGTACAAGCAGGAAGCTCAAGAATTGATGGAATATGTGATCCTTACTTGCATGTGTCAGATTTTGTTCGGATACTTGGCCAATATTATGCAGCATCACCAACTCAGCCTGGATCACCGCGCCTAGATATCAAGAACAGACGTCGAACATCCCCATCTTCTCCAAAGATTGGAAAGCAATCACTTGAAGAATCCACATCATCTCGTTCAGCTAGGTTTGTATATGGGGGAAATGAGGGAAGAGGAGCATACACTTATAGTGAGCATCCATAGATCTCAACTTCAAGAATCCGGAGTCTTTGGTGGGAGCGAGAGGTTCATTGATCTACTTCATACCATGTCACAAGAGCTGGATGGTCTCAAGGCCGAGTTTCTCAAGGCTGTAGAAACATCATGTAAGTACTACTCTTGTATTATTGTACTTGTTCAAATGTACAAAACCCTGACAATGGGATGTAGTCTTTTCCAGCAGTGTAACAGAATCACGTCTTACGAGTGAGCCATCCGACAAGTTTTCAAAAGAAAAGGTCCTCATGTCCTTCAATGCAAGCCAAATCGAGTTGCAGCAAAAATCGAGAGCACTAGAGCATGCAGAAGAACGACTCAAGGTAATACCATTAAAGTTTGTGACACATGCAAGAGATGATCTGATTATGCCTCCCGTAGAATTATGAAGCACGCATTGCATCACTGGAAAAAGCGTTACAGAACAGCTATCGCATTGAATCGGCAACCAAGAGCAAAGATACAGGCAATGCAACGGGAACTCCATCATCAGGAACATCATCTCAGTATTCTTTGGTTGACGAAGCATCCAATCGTGACGTGGGACAGCTTCAAGAGACTGTGAAAGAGCAAGAACAGTATATCACCGATCTCCAAAAACAGATGCACACAGAGCAAGAAATGGTATGTATTATGCATAGGAGATGAAGAAGGAATACTCATGTATATGTGTTTATAAAGTGGGAGAATGAAAGGGAAGATTTCAAGCTGCAAATCCAGGAGCTGGAGCAATTGCTGGAAGAGGAACGACAAACTTACGAGTACAATCGTCGCAGCGTATGTCATTTATTGGATCGTTACTTTTTTCATGCTGATAGATATACTCTCTTTTTAGCTCCTCAAGGAGGCACAAGTTAAGGACGATTTGGCTGACATGCGAGTGGCAAGCATTGAAGATGACTACAAAGCGAAGGTAAACACCAAACCTATATCTTGGGTTCTTATCGTACTAAGCCGCATCGATATAGATACAAGAGCTTGAAGCTGTTATCGACAATGAGAGAAAAGCCCACCAAAAGGAGCTGGAAAAGAAGGACATGGAGATTAAGGAGCTTGTCAACAAGAGCAGGACATCGGTTGATGAACAATCGAGCGTTGCACAGGAATTGGATCAGTTAAAGAAAGAATACGCCAGCTATAAGGAAGAGGTATGTGATTTGTGGAGGTTGGGTTATCACACATGATATAAAATGCTGACGCATGGTTAGACTGAGAATCGGCTACAAGAGCTGGATAACACTGAGCAAGCGCGTGATAATATCAAGCAACAACTGGCTAAAGCAAGGGATATGGTTAGTCGCGCTGAGAATGATTGGATGAGCAAGCAAGAAGCTTTGGAAAAGGTGAGCAAGGAGTATTAGGTACATAACGACATCGGTGTCATTGACAATGAATGTATAGGCTCTGCGTGAACAAAAGGAAGTCCAGGTGGCATTGGTGGATCTGGTGTCATTGTACGGCCGTATGCCTAATGAAATGGATATTTCATCGCTGCTCGATAACTTGAAAGCATGCATGGAGGCTGCAGCTTCGAATCAAACTGGCCTAGAGAATGTAAGTGCTCATTGTTCATTTGATTGTTGGCTCTTTTATCTAATGCGAATGCTATCCATGATTAGCAATTGGCGGATCTTGATCATGAATACGAGCAGCTGGCAGCGGATATGCATCGCCTGGATGATGAATACAAGGAGCTACGGCTTATCACAACACATATGGCGGAGAAGCTTGAAGGATATCGCAAAGACATCTTTTATGAGCTTACCCATCAATTGCAACTCTCTATTGACGAGGAAGAAGCCATGGCAATCACAAAACGGATCATTGTATCGGACCAAGACGACGACATGGCTGTGTGGAACAACGTGCTTCAAGCATCCAAGGGCTTCGACCCAGTGAAATTTGTGAACCGCATACGAGAAAAGGTGAAGGAAGCTCATGATATGAGTCGTCGTTGGAAGCGTGAATATAAAGGTGAGTACAAATCCAATGGAGTATGTGATTCGATGTACTAATGATGATACATGGTGGATGTAGAGAAATACAGCAAACTTTCAAGCAGCAGTCGTGACAAGATTGCATTTCGCAAGTAAGTAAAAGAGACTGGTAGCCCACCTGGAAAGATATGGCTAATGCATGAATAATAGCTTTCAAGTGGGGGATGTTGCTTTGTTCCTTCCAACGCGTAATTCGACCGGGAAACCATGGGCAGCTTTCAACATTAATGCACCACACTACTTTTTGAAGCCATCTGATACGATCGAACAACAAATGCAACACCGTGAATGGATGGTAGCTCGAATTACGTCTATCACGGAGCTTACAGTCACTTCGGTATGATACAAAGATGGATGTCCAAACTTGCTATATTCTCTAATTACGTTTGACAATGATAGGATCCACAATCTAATCCCTACGGACTAGCCGATGGTCTCACGTATTATCATCTTGAAGTCGAGAATTGGAAGAGTGCTCATCATCGTAAGAATCATCACAAGAGCCAGTCGCGTAAAACAGGCAGTAGCAGTGGCAACAACAAATCCAAAGGCAAAGAAAATGCATATACCATGATACCAAAATCACCACCAGCACAAGATACCGGCTTAGCCAGCATTGGTGAATCATCCACTTCAGCCCCACCCAGTTCCCCGTTGCATGGACGACGACCTTCCTTTCCCATATCACTTTCGACAAGCAATGTCGTTCACAGCTATGTCCCTACTAATTCACCACCTTCTTCAAGTCGCGAACGACGTCATAGTTACTTTGGATCAACAGATACAGACGCGATAAGCCCTACACTTGCATGGACCCAACCACAAGAATAATAATAAGAAGATTGTTCCTTAGAGAAATAGTTTGATATGCAAATTGTATTGTATAATTCTTTTCCCTTCCTCATCTACACAGTATTGCGCAACACTAGATAGATATTCCAAGTCAATATACATATTTTCACATCTTTTTGCCTTCCTCATCCTTACTTACCAAGAACAACTGAATCACCACGCAAAAACATCTTGCTCACAAAACGATCCTTGTTCACAGGCTTAGCCTTGGATCCCTTGCCAGTTCTTGGAGTCTCAGTCCACATCTATGATAGACGTTCCCGTTGTTAGGCTCTGGACACGCAATATTGCTCTTGCGCGATCTCATACCTCTTTGACGTTTTCAAGAACCATATTGCAGTGGCGATCGAATGCTTTGACGCGAGCAAGCATCTTGTGGTTGTTGCGACAGCTGATGAGGATCTGATTGTTGTTTTTGACGGATTGTTGAAGAACAGACAATGGGCCAGTGTTGAATTCGACCTCTTCCATTTTACGAAGCTCCTCCTCCGTCATTTCTGATTTGGGCTTGCCGCTTGTGCTATGATATACGCATCAATACACGTACTACTCAGTGCAGATCTATGTAACTACATACCTCATTGTGATATTTTATGTTGGAGAGGAAGGAAAAGTAATGGTACGCTGAGAGAGAAAGAGAGTGAGAGGGAAGGAGCTCCCGACGCAGTTGTCCGCCTGTGACTTACCTCGTCCTCCACCCACCCGCCAAATCCATGCAACTAGATTCAAGTTAATCCTTGCAATTAGCACTATAGCTCGTTGATAGCTAATGTATCATATGATGTTTCTACACATAAATAATAGCATTTCATTTACCATTCTCGGCCACTTACTTTGTGCTCTGCACGTAACTATGTTATATGAATGGAACAGTCTTGGGAGCGTACTGGAAACTCAAATGCTACACCAGCGTCAATGTATCTACAAAAGATTGGTCTTTCTCTTAACCACTTGGAGCTTTTGGAAGGGGATCATAAAGCAACATAGCCATTAAGGTATCCTATACCAATGAGATCTGCCTTAAAATGGTATAAAAGCTGATAACTACTTGGAGGCACTAATCATATTGTTGCTGTTGCAAAAACGGTAGAGGATCATCCATTACATCATCACATGAAAGGCAACATCATAATGATACCTTCGGTCGCTTATTAGATGTAGTGAGTCCATCTATACTGCGTTAAGCAAATAAATAAAGTCGTTGAGATTGAAAGCAGATGATGTAGGTGAAACAGCTTTCCGAGAGCAAGGTGTGAATACGATGTTGACAATAAACCTTGAGAATCGGTCAGCAATTTTACTTCATTATAGGGATATTGGTTGCATTTAGGTGATATCGGTATTGAGTGGAACAATTATTGTGATCTTAGGGAAGGGGTGAATATTGGATCGGTTGATGAGGTAGCATGCTTTGATAAGCAACGTGTCAATTTCCAATCATCATTGTGTCTTTACCCAGGGGAACAAGCATAAGGCACACCTCTCGGAGACTACCAATAAGGGCCCGCCCATTGCCATGTTTGTTGACTTGATGCAAATAGAATAGCCATGCATCACCACTTACAAATTTCTGTGAGATAATGCATGCATGCAAATGTCAGCATTGGTAATCTTTCCCTACAAAGACATTGGACATGCTTACATTTGTGGAACTCCAATTGTCATGGCGGAGTGCATGTAGTAGTGCACACACAATGCTTATCATGGCCGTTGCAAATATGAGGAAACCGCTACACTATTCCGACGACGTAGCTGCCAACCAAGGCAAAACATTGGTTATTGAGATATCAATGTTTGTATTACTATACATGGTTCAATTACAGTAGTAGCAGCAACCAGCCATCAAGAAGATGATGTATGTTGGTGTGCTTTGAGTTGCTCTCTCACACACACAGCTTAATTGTGGTTACATCGGGTTTTTACTCACATTGCGTTATTAAAAGAAGCATTGTTTACGTATTAGTCTTCTCAGTTTTTCTGGAACTTCTGTTTTGAGGAAATTGCGAATATGACCGAGATACTTAATTGAACATGACAGCATCTAGCCATAAACCAGCAAATCGGTTCAAGTGAGACTATTGTGATATTGTTCGATACACCTTGGCTTTGTGTTGTATGTAACATTCAAAGCCAAAATAGCCATACGGAAGACATGCTTCTTGTACTACATTACAAATGGAGGTCGTGCATGTACAGCCATTTGACATGATGAACAAAGAACGGGGAAAGAAGACAATGACCGTAGATAAAGTGAATAGGGGATGATGTTTGCATCAATGAAACACGAATAATGACTATGGACCTTATCCACTGGATATTGACAAACAATGCTGGTTTGGGGGATAGAATGGCCAATGGGGACAATGTGGTCTGGGCCATGCCAGCATTGGTAACACAACAATGGGGGTGGCTCGCCCACGTTACGCAAAGCAGTAAATTTCAACCTTCATCAAGGCACACCCCGTTCCTTGTTCTCTTTCAATCCATTCAACTTTACTCTTCTATGCCAAAATCCCGTTTGATACGAATAGCACCTTTGACATTACTCGCCCTATGCCTTTTATTGCTATGGTCACAACAGCCTTACATTCCAGCTTACAGCAAAGTTGAACAGCGATCAGCTCCCGATCTACTACATGTTGACAACGGCAATGAACACATGGCAAGACAAGAAGACCACATTCAAAGTAAACGAACCGTCATAGAACCAGGTAACGTATATACCTTTGCTTCATTGACGTGTGGTTGGATCTAAGCATCCTCTTGTAGTGATCCATGCGGATGACGATGGTATGGAACATCTCAGGTTTACACATGATATTGCAGTCCCTGTGCCTATCAAACCATGGACAGGTAATATTGATTCGAATGATACACGTTGCTCTTTATTCATTCAATTGTATCCTGTACATCAGAGGCCGATATGCATACGATGCAAACAGCATTGGTTGGTCAATCCATTGTGGCAGATCTTTTGACAGCACCAGAAACAATGCCGGATTTCAAGTCTTTAACGTATCAGCAACGTGTCTTCAAGGCTCTCTTCCAATACTTTGATCCATTGATCGCCAAAGGAGACATTGATCTGGAATCTGATCCACAATACAAGGACGCTTGGTCGCTATATCGACGACTAGAGAAGACTCTGTATCCATGGTTACGACCTTTCTACAACAACGCATTTCATTTGACCAATGCCACATCATCACGTGGTATCGTGATTTGCATCGGCAACCATCAATTTCAATATGCTGCCACAACCATCCGTGCCATTCGTCAAGTGCTCAAATCCCAATTGCCTATTCAAGTGTTTTATATCCGTGATGGCGACTTGACACCCACACGCAAGCTTTATCTCGAGACCGAGTTTGAGAATGTGCATACTGTGGCTGTGGTGGATCGCATCAATGACCAATTTACCAAATTCGGTGGATGGGCACTTAAACCTTATGCCATTCTCGCAAGCAGCTTCCAAGAGGTGATTCTTATGGATGCAGATACCTTCTTTTTCAAGAAACCGGACACGCTATTTGATGATGCTGGCTATCGTAAGACTGGAGCTCTGTTCTTTTATGATCGAACTCTCTTTGCCAACTGGGATGTGGGTCGAAATTGGTTGGCATCATTTTTACCAACCATGAGCTCCTTTGTGCGTGAAACTCGATGGTGGCGACTCCTCTCAGCCCATGAACAAGAATCCGGCGTCGTGGTCATTGATAAGAAACGAGCGTTGTTGGGTCTGTTGGCAACTTGCAAGATGAATGACTTCCGTGAACGGGATCAAGTGACTTATAAACACATGCACGGCGACAAAGAAGTAAGTATCAAGGTTACTTGCATGATAAAAAAAGATCTACTTGGACTCATTGATCCTTTCTATACATAGTCGTTCTGGATCGGGTTTGAAATGGTACAAACACCTTATGCATTCATCAAGTCTTATGGTGCGGTGATTGGCAGCCTTGATGATCAACCAGAGGGCTCTATGGTATGCGGCAACCAACTTCATCTAGGCGTCGATCGTCAACCGCTATGGTGGAACGGGGGTCTGCTGAGAGATAAGAACAAGTGGCCTGATCTCTATCTATCCTTTTCACACTATGCTGAAGGCCAAGATTGGGATTTTCAATCATCGTGCATCAAAGATACCAACCATATCCGTGAATTATCGTTCACCGAGCGCGCCCTGACACAAGCTTATGTGGCCATTGATGCTCAACGCAAAGAGGATGAAGAGCTAATTCAACAAGACCGGTGGAAACCTAGGGAACAAAAAGTCCTTGAAGCAACCAGCAACTCCAAAGAGCTCTAAATGCTCGCGTATGATGATATTGTACATTAGACTTAATTTAACTCATTCACTTGTTATTCCTATTAATTGAATTTACTACTCATAAAAAGCTTGGATTTCTGGATTCGTGTGGAAAAGGTTATGTATATTTTGCAAAAAACAACATGTCGCTATGATTCAGACATATGGGTTGCATAGATTTTTGGATTATGATTACAGCTTGGCTTCCAAGTAATCGGCACGGTGTTTGGATGCAGCCTTTTCGTAATCTTGCTTTGTGGGGGAGCGTGCTTCCACAGCCTAATCAACGAATATGAGTACACTCATTTATGTGTATGATTACAGTAATCAAACACTTACGGGGTTGTATGCCGTCTTTGGCGTGGGCTTGTTATTGTTCGCCTTCTTGTAGATGCTGACAACAACTGCACCGCCCAAACCCACATTGTGCTGAAGGGCATACTTGACATTAGGCACTTGTCGATTGCCGGCCCATCCACGCAACTGCCAAGTCAGCTCTGTGACACTTGCATTGTCAGCATTGACCACATTCATGCATCGCTTTTATTTATACCATCCACGTACCTGTGCATTGTGCCAAACCAGTAGCACCAAGAGGATGACCCTTGGAGATTAAACCACCCGATGGGTTGATTACGTATTTACCACCATAGGTGGTATCACCGCTGTCGATAAGTTTATGAGCTTCTCCTTTGGCACACAATCCAAGTGCATCGTATGTTACCAGCTATAGCCACCCATAGTCAGCTACTTGTTCATTCATCATCATAGGGGTCATTTGTATCATACCTCGTTTGCTGAGAAACAATCATGCAATTCGACCACTTGTACATCCTTGGGTGTGATACCAGCATTGCTGAAAGCTGTCGAGGCAGCACGACGTGTCATGTCAGATCCCACCCATTCAATAGGATCGGTAGAAAGTAAACGAGGTGAATCGGTAGCCATTTCTTGTGCACAAATCTCGACAGCTTGATCCATCAATCCATGCTTCTTTGCAAATTCCTCGTTACATACAATAGCGCAAGCTGCACCATCGGACTGAAAAATCAAATTAGAGTTGGATTATGCAATGCTGGAACCACCCCATATGAATTATGCCAAATGCTTACCGTTGGGCAACATTGCAACTTGGTCAAGGGGCCATAGATATTGGGAGATTGTTTGATTTGATCAAGGGTGTAAATGTCACGGAATTGGGAATAAGGATTGTTCGCACTTGTCACATGTAAGAATGTGTGAGACGTTTGTGAATACATGATAGCCTTGAATCTTCGTACCTGTGGCGATGGTTCTTTTCGGCAATCTTTGCCAGGTGATCAGGGTGCGCACCATAACGACGAATGTACTCAATACCAGCATTGCCAAAGATTTGGGGATTGCGTGGTGCCTTTCCTTCGTATGGGATTTGATCTTTCATTAATTGGGTAACGTGATCTATTAAGGTTGTATGTAACAACAAGGATTAGCCGTCAAAGCTGATTAGCCGGATATAAGCAATGTTTACCCATGGCTGGTGTGCGATCTGTGTATTTGCCCTTCAATGGACCGGGTTCCATACGTTCAAATCCAAGGGCCATAGCGCAATCGACCATGCCATACTTGACAGCATTACGAGCTTGTAAAAGAGCAGTTGAACCAGTCGAGCAATTGTTGTTGACATTGATGATAGGAATTTGAGTCATTCCAAGTTGGTATAAAGTGCGTTCTCCATAGGCACTATCACCGTATACATATCCCACGGCTGCAAACTTGACATCGTCATACGTTAAGCCTGAATCGTTTAATGCCTTGATGGCAGCTTCCAAGCCCAGCTCTAATGTGTTACATTTTCCCTGTTAGCTTCACACGCCTGTTGATCGATTTCGTAGATGGGGTATGTGTACCTGGATAATCCACTTGACCGCGTGGCTTGATGAACTTGGTCATGCCAACACCAACGACGTACACTTTATTGGTCATTTTGTTGAGGGAGGTTTACACTGTGGGAATGAAAGAGAAAAAAAAGTGGGGTATCCAATCATTCATGCAACCCCTTTTATTTGAAATCCCCATGGTAACACAAGGCAAGCATATTTCCCATGGCAACGGCTTTTACTCATCTTGAATTACTACACACAAGAAAAAACAAAGCTATACAGTAAACCTACACTCGTCTAACTTTTCTAACAAGAGCTGACACCGAACATGCAATCGGCTATCCCAATCATGCGTATCCTCTGTAACATAGGTTTCCTCTAGGGATGCGGCAGAATCGGCTGTTGACGCCGACGTGGATCGTCGTTGTTGGCTAAAATATTGCTCTGCATTCTTCACCAATGCACGTAGTTCACTCAACTTGATGGTGTTGTCATGTTCGTATTGCAACTGAAAACATCCAAGTGCGGCTAATTCATACATGGCGTATGGCACAGCCCATCGATCCTCTTGTACTTGGGTATCGAGACCAATCACTAGCTTGAAACATTCTTCAGCTTTCTTGTGCTCATCCAATTCTTTGCACACAACCCCAAGCAAAAGATGTAAGATGGCAATGTCCGAGATACTGGGTTGTTGTTCAATGCATCGTTCAAGGCGCTCCTTCATGTTGCATTGCATCTCTTTTGTCAATTGAGGTATGCCATTCCATAGGTAAATAAGCTCCCATAAAGGATTGACAACAACCACTTGTTTAAGAATATCGCCATCCAGCAAAGAATAACGCTCCTTGACTTGTTGTTGAGTCATCCATGGATGCTGTAATGTCTCGGCAGCCACCTTTTGTGCCTTTTCCTTCCAACGACGGATCTTACGCTCTGCAAATGCCTCATTGGGTAATAAACGACCTCCCAGCTGTCGCTTGCGTTCAAGGATTCCAGGAATTTGATGAAACTCCATTCCAGCCTTATCGTATTGTTCATTGGCAAACATGCAGCAGGTGGCAATGTAATGATAAAATGCACGAGACCAATTGTTGATGCTTTCGAGTCTGAAAAACGTCTCTGATGCTTGAAAGTAATCGCCCAGAAAAATCTGACCCCTGCATGGATACGTATATCACATCAGCTCATGATCCTGAACCCCCCCTTTTTATCTTGCGCGCATCCTGTAAAAACAGAAATTTGCTCACCTACCATCCCATCTCGTATACTGCAAGTGCTTGAAGCTGTGCAAGATCACTGATAGCAAAGCAATCTTCACTCCGTACAGGTTTACCAGATCCATCCATACGTCGTCGCCTTGAATCACGTAAAATTTCAACTCCTCGTCGTGGCATCCCTTCCATCTTGCAGAGTTTGCCTTCTAGTAACTCCCAAATCTTATTATTAGGGTATCTCGTTTTCATGTCGTTCAGCATGCTTCTTGCAGTCTCAGGGCTGATAGATGATGGGAATAGGCGTGGGTGAATGAACAACGTAAGGTTGGTATAATAGATGAGCAAGGTCAATGCGCTGAGTGATGAATAAAGGCCACGGCTTTCATAGGATCGTTGTAATACATGCAATGCAAAAGGGCGTGATGAATGGAAACCAAGCGTGTTGAGTATCCTGTTCACTACACATAACACTCCTCTTAGTCTCTTAAATGTTTCATCCAAGGTGATTTCACTATACCTCGAGGTGGTAGTAAAGAAAAGATAAGACTGAATAAACCGATCCCAAAAAAGACACCACTTTCAAGAGCACTACTCCTATCATTACGTGATGCTGGATCCGTATTCTCATCAAGAGGGGAGGAGGAAAGCGATCGACGCCGAAACGAAGAGTGGCGTAATTGATCCATGCTTGGCTTACGTGTTGGGAGAGCAAAAAAGCTGAATCGTTTGTTGACATGAGCATTTTCACGTTTGAATTGATTGCAGGTGCTCGATAGCGGTGTTGAACGTCGCTGCTTTCTTAACGTATTTGCATAATCACTCGTCTTTTGGCCGACCAACTCTTCAAAAAGATGCTCATACATCTTGTACGACTTGCGTAGTCGATAAGTTGCTTTCATGTATTCGATCCAACTGCTGCCAAGGAATTGAACTGTGGCCGACATAAGCATACAATTGACTTCAATCAACTCGCACAAAAGATCCACTGAACGTCGATACTCCTTTGAACAACCATTGTTGGTTTGGGGTAAAGGTTGATCCATCATAGGATGCTGATGCTGATGATGATGATGTTCTTCTTCCTCAGTGGGTTCTTCAGGTGCTGTCATCACTGTGCCTGTACTACTTCCACTGCTGGTACTCTTTTGTGTCGAAGAATCATCATCCTCTACGACCTCCTCTTCTTCATTTGTAGTTGAGGCAAATGATATTGATATGGATTGATTGGGATCGAAGGTGGATGATGCATGATGAATGGGTGTTGTTGATGCCTGTTTCTCCTTGTTGGATGACCGCCACCCGGCAACAACGGTATTGTTGCTACCACTACCACGCACACGCTTGCCTAGTTGACGAGCTACATTCTCCGCAGCGGCTATTCGATGGGTTGCTTCCTGAATCTTCTCGGCATCAAAGGCCAACATGGCTTCAACATAGGTCATCAATGCGTAACCAATGGCATGGAATGGAGATACGGCGCAATGCTGTGCAAAGATATCATGGGCAAGGTCGAATTGATCATTGAGTAAGGCATCCTGTGTTATATATGGGATCGTATAATTGTCAGTTAACCATAAATGGATCCATCTCACACGTGCATACCAGCCCTCGTTGAGTGTCCGCTATCCAGAACTCAATCAACTGTTGCGATGGCACCCCGGGATCCTGTAGGGACCATGACGACGGAACAAAAAAGCTCGTCGTGCTCGATGCGGCATACTTTAGGGTCGACGATGTGAATCGGGAGAGATTGGAAATCTGTTGTCGAAACATTAGGCGGAGAGCGGTGTAATATAGATATGCTGTTGTAGTACGTAAAAGAGGTGGCGGTGGTTGATGATGGTATACACTCTCACTCACTCACTCACTCGCACAGAAAGAGAGTAGCGAATGTGGGGGATGGTATTTGGGATAAGGATGCAATAAGAAGGGGTTAAGGGCTGTAGTAATAGTAATAATAGTAATGTTGTATGAGTGACGAAATATATAGTTTGTCAGCCACTTGTTCGATCGTTTACACGTTCCCCCTAAGCAGGAAATGAAGAGCAAAAGAGAAAAGGAAAAAGGGGATCGACGAGAGCAGTATTTATCCGACATTGTGGTTGGGGGGACTCCATTCTTCTCATTTATCCATTATCCTTCTTTGCCGCTCACACCCGCCTACCTTCTTCTTATCATATCATCTGCCCTTCTAAGTAGTTCCCTTTCCTATCATTGTATAATTGCCTTAATTCATGCATCAAAGTCAGCTTATGCATTTGTCTTTGCTTGTTACTAGCCCAACACATACCCTAAATTGAAGCATCATGTTGCACCGAGAACATTCATTCGTTACTGCACAATGGATATTGCAATATTCAGGAACAACAATGGTCTTGGCAATTATCTTCTAACAATGTACACACCCCATCACTGCACATGTCGCATGACCTATTCTCAAACAATGAGTGCGTGCACGGGGCACAGGACCAACAATAACAAATGAGTACTTGACCATAAGAGATTCTCCGCAAAACGCCTCATCAATGACGTCCGTATGTGCCACCCGAGACAGCTGCATGATTATAGTCATTCTCTTCCCACCATCACCATCACCATCATCCTACTGCAATGGGTCATTCGGGCATATGCCTTGCATAATGCTGGTTCAAAAGGTAATTTATCGTGAGCGTGGTAATTGATGTTGATGGCGACAACAACAGTAAGGGGTTTGCTGATTGATTGTATAATCTACAAAGGGTAAAAGGGGGACACACGCGTGAGCATGTGGATAGCTTTTGGGTCAGCGATTTATCTGATCGTCCTATTACCCGTTCTTTTTGTTCCTTAACGTTGAGCCATACATACAACTAAAATTTTTACTTCACACAAAGAAAGACAGCATTGATAAGTGCCTTGCATACCTATGTGAATGTCAACAACATATCCAATCTCCCCTCCCCATTGGTGCCACCCTAATTAGCCTATCCAGAATTTATTATGTGTATCGCTTTGCCACCATCAGCATGATTGATTTGTAGACCTATCATTACACCGTTGATGGCTATTGTTGATCCTGATACTGCTTTGGTAACAGAGCTACATACTTGGTTGAAACAACAACAGCAAACCTGTTGTCTTTGTTTCAAGGGTGCTATCGCCTCTTCTTGTCTTTTTCACGTGTTACGGAAATGTTATTCATTGTTTGACAATCATTTCATTAGCTTGTAAATAAATAGGCTATTGTAGACAAAGAACACTAAAACAGGGCTAAAATGGATAAAATATAGGTAGGAATCATCAGATGGTGATAGTGTTTGCTTCAGCAGATGCAGGCACGGGTGTGGGGATATTGGTGTTGGTGGATGGTGCTTCATCCGGCTTTGAATCGTCACCAGGGATAGGCGTTGTTGGGGTCTCGGCTTCATCCTTGTCAGAAGCTGTTGCACTTTTACTAGCCGCATCATTGATCTCAGCTTGCAAATCCTTTGTAGGCTCGACATGCATCGAAATCATTTTGCTTTTTCGTCGTTTCTCCTTATCAGTAGCAGCTTCAGCAACAGCGTATGCAGCAAAATCGGCAAACACCTCGTCATACATGTCCAGCATAGGCTTGTCCTTTTGCTTTACGATTTCACGGATCAAGTACCAGTCGTGTGCATAATTCTCTTTGCAAGTGCGCACTTTGACATGGCCATCGCGCTCTGCTACATCAATAAGATTCATGATGTCATCTCGCATCACTTCTTTTTCACCAACAAAGACAAGAGCGTTCTTGGGTGCAAAACGAGAAAAGCCAGATTGGATTTGGGCAATACGCAAGATAGGTAACTGGTCGGGATCAACATTGGGGTAATCAAGGTATTCCTTAAACACCAACTTGGCAAGCTGTTGGCCAACCATATCATACTTGTCGTTGGATTGCCACGATGCAGATGTCGTTTCGGGAGTCACCAAAGGACTTACAAGTACCATTCCTGCTGGCAAGTCAATCTTGTAATTGGTGCGTTGAGCGTCAAAGTTCTCGGCCAAATCAGGTGCATACGTTCGAACCAGCGTCTCCAAGCATAAAGCACCACCAGCTGAGTCACCTGAGAAGATCACTTTCCAAGCTGGTACGCGTAAATCTTCGGTGAGATGCTTGTATGCTTTAACACATTCCAATACAGGCTCTGGATATTTATGTGCTGGTGCAAGACCTACAAGAAAATGATAAAGGGTTAACATTGCCCATGTCTACTATTGCCATGTGAACGAAAAATACTTGCCATACTCAACCGACATGATCATGGCATCAAGGCCATGCTTTTCTTTGAGCACATTCAACCACTTGATGAAGATGGGCATATACATGGTCGCATGTCCAGTTCGAAAGCCACCACCTGCATTATAGGTATATCAAGTTTAGCATGCGAATTGTCTTGAGTAAGATAGGATCATTATCATCACCATGGATTTCGAAAATGACAACATCTGCGCTTCGTAAACGGCGAATGGCATCAGCATCGCTTTGATATTTGATATCTTGAGCAATCAATGATCCTTTCCAAAAGGAGTTGTTGATGTTTTTGATCCACTTTTTTTGTTCATTGTTGGGCTTGGTAAGATCATTGATCAAGCCATTCGCCACAGCAGGTGGTAATGTGAGCGTGGTCCGCAAGGTCTGAATAACGACAGGAGCAGGTGACTTTTTGATAAGCGTGCGTATGTTATCCATTAAGGAAAGTAGATGCGGAAGAAGTGTATGTAATTGAAAATGAAAAAAGGAAAGGAGAGAGAGAGAGAGAGAGAGAGAGAGAGAGAGAGAGAGAAAAGGATAGCGTTCTTTTTGATTGTTCATCGATTTTTTTATGGGGTAAAGGGTGGTAGTACGACTCGTTTCCATAGACGGTAGGATTAAGCTCTGTCACCCTCTGAGTATGGTGGCACCAAGATTGCGGAGCCATGTGAAGGATAGTATACGGTGTTTGTGTGTGGGTGAATGAATTAAGATGGATGAGAGAGACTTTACACAAGAACTAGACAGCAATAATGAAGGGGAAAAAGATCGTCTTCTTTGGCGATTTAATGTCCGTGCGTGTTGCATGTTGTACAGATGTTAATTGTAATAGTAAGAGTAGTAGTCCTCCAACGTCGAGATGAAATGATGCTTGTAGATACTCATATTCATGCGAGGTATGCATCTTAGTCTCCTTGGAGAAGTGAATGAAGCAAGTGACGAATACTGGGATATAGAAAGGTACCGAATTGACAGTAACAAAGGGCAAGAAACTCGAGGTGTGATACCCGATGGCATTTCATCAAGCGTGCATTTTTGTTAGCCCGACATTATTGACCCTGCTCACATTTGTCCCTTTCCCTTCCTTTTCGTCCATACTTCAACATGTCAGACGCAAAGTACTTTCAAAGAGGTAGGTGTCTAAGCTATTCATAGCTATCTTTATATATTGATATACATTCGTTCTACAGGCAAGATTCAAGAGCTACGGGCCGAATTGAACTCGGACAAGCGCGATCCAAAGCACCAGCGCAAGAAGACAGTGATGAAGAAAATCGTTGCCAACATGACCATGGGAAACGACATGTCACCTCTCTTTCCTGATATCCTCAATGTTATGAACGTTCCCATTCTTGAAATCAAGAAAATGGTGTACCTGTACCTTATCAACTATGCGAGAAGCAAGCCTGACATGGCCATGATGGCGATGACCACGTTCATCAAGGTAGTGTCGACATAGCAACGATAGGAAGGAAGTGGTTTCCAACGTAGTGCATTGTGATAGGATGTCGAAGACCCCAACCCACTTATCCGTGCTCTGGCTATTCGTACTATGGGCTATATTCAAGTCGAGAAGATTGTCGATATCCTTGTTGACCCCCTCCGACATTGTCTCAGAGATCGCGATCCTTACGTCCGGAAGACAGCAGCTATTTGTGTTGGCAAGCTCTACATGTATGATAACATCTTGGTCGAGAGCGAGCATTTTATCGACATGTTGAGGGACTTGCTTACCGACGCCAATCCCACGGTATGTTAGGATGGTGGTGGTCACTATTATCTAAAGCGCTGACATTGTATATGAATAGGTCGTTGCCAATGCCGTCGTTGCACTTACAGAGATATCCGAAAGATCCGACAACATTCAGCTCAAATTGAATCATTCGATTGCCAGCAAACTTGCAGCAGCATTGAACGAATGCAACGAGTAGGTATTGCATGAGAATGCATGGAACAGGATGATTAACGCTTAATGATTAGGTGGGGTCAAACATACATCTTGGAAGCGTTGATGTACTATGTGCCACAAGAGCCGGGAGATGCAGAGATGCTTGCTGAACGTATTGCTCCTCGTTTACAACATGCCAATTCAGCCGTCGTATTGACATGCGTCAAAGTGATCATGTATATGATGAATTACATGCGCAACGAAGCCGATGTCAGCGCCTTTTGCCGCAAATTAAGTCCACCACTCGTCACTTTACTCTCGTCAGGCCCTGAAGTTCAATACGTTGCCCTTCGAAATATCTTGCTTGTCATCCAACGACGACCAGAAGTATTGCGCAACGACATGAAGGTGTTCTTTTGCAAGTACAATGACCCGATCTATGTCAAACTCGCTAAGCTTGAAATCATCTTCCGCCTGGCAAATCCACAAAACGTTGATCAAGTATTGAGCGAATTGAAAGAGTAAGTGCTATGGGGATAATTATATGGGTAAAGAGCGTATTCGCTAATAGGGTTCATTATCCATTAGATATGCCGCTGAGGTGGATGTTGATTTTGTACGTAAAGCTGTGCGCTCCATTGGTCGTTTGGCCGTCAAGATTGAGACTGCTGCAGAGCGATGCATTTCAGCGCTCCTTGAATTGATCCAAACCAAGGTGAATTACGTGGTTCAAGAAGCTATCGTTGTTATTCGGGTAAGATTGAGTCATCAACGTGTTGTTGGTCTTCATGCTAAAGGTATCTCTGAATAGGACATTTTCCGCAAATACCCAAATCAATACGAGAGCATCATTGCAACGCTATGTGAGAACCTGGATAATTTGGATGAACCAGAAGCAAAGGCAGCAATGATTTGGATCATTGGACAATACGCTGATCGCATCGAGAACTCGGATGTATTGCTGGATGATTTCCTTTACACCTTTTTGGAGGAGCCTGTAGAGGTAAGGTGCCACCTATTACATAATTAACGTCTACTAATGGTATATGGTACAGGTTCAATTGGCATTACTTACAGCAACCGTGAAGTTGTTCATCAAACGCCCCACTGCTGGTCAGGAGCTAGTGCCCAAGGTGCTCAAGTGGGCTACTGAGGAAGTGGATAATCCTGATTTGCGAGATCGAGGATACATTTATTGGCGATTGCTATCAACGGACCCTGCAGCAGCTAAAGCTATTGTGTTATCCGAAAAGCCTCCCATTTCGACTGAAAGCGACAACATGGACACTGCATTCCTTGATGAATTATTGTTGCATGTCTCCACTCTTGCATCCATATACCACAAGAGCCCAACTACCTTTATTCACCGTTACAAACCTCGTTATCTGATGCCATCTCCTGTTTTACAACGACCATCCTCTTATTCTCAGCCTTTCCCATCTACACCAACAATGGCACAGCAACAACCAGCAGTAACAGCACAACCCCCATTACAACCACAACAGCAACAGCAACCACCGCCACAACAACAACAACTTCCGCCTCAACAGCAACAACTCATTAATTCCGGACCATTGCCAAACGACCTCGGCTACAATAGCCTTGCAGCTAATAGGTATGTATTGAATGGGTGGGTGACTATGTTTCTATGGAGAGCCTATACTTATCGTCTACATGCCGTCTTAGACATTCATTCAATGGTATGAACGCACTTGCCACAGCCAATCCTTATGCCACTGATGTGGTAAACCAGCAGGATGTGCGACCAGCCCAACATGCACCAGGTGGAGTTGATTTACTTCTCGACTTGTAATAGCCATTTTATCATTATTCACACAATGAACATGCACAATGAAATCTTTACAAGTGGAATGGATGGTATACACATAGTAGTTACTGGTGGTATAGGGGAAGGGAAAGAGGGATAAAAAGAGAATGTGTTGTGTGTGCGATGATACAAGGATTATGTGGTAAAGGAAAGAATGATGATGATGCTTGTTTTCTCAGCTTGAAGACCATGCCATCCTCACCTTTCGAATAGCTTGTTGTGATTCCGGACTTGGCGGCATGCATGGATCAATGGATTGCCAATCTGCTGTAGCAAAGTTGCTGGTACGGCCATGTATGCTTTCTTCCAATTTCAATAGCTCGGCGACAAATCCAATGTTGGGTGACATACTCGGTCGTACTTTGATGACATGTTGATAAGCTCTTTTGAGTGACCAATGCTCCGTCATAACCAAATAAGCGAGAATAGCAGCCACAGATCTTGATTTGCCAGCTTTGCAATGGACATAAATTGGCTCGTGATGCTCCTTTGCAGTATCTATAACAAGGATTTGAGATGAGATCGATAGTCATTTTCATTCAACCTTCCCTCTTTCAACTTACCAATAACCTTGACAGCTTCCCGCAATGTTTGTTCCACATTTTCCATCGCAATCGTATCTCGAGCCTTTAATTTGAAATACCTGATCTTATCCTTCAATCCAGGAACATCATCATTGCATTCTTCAGCCATATTGAGGATACGTCGAATCGAATGTGATAGTAATTTGTTGAGCTGTTCCTGATCGGAAATCTCGGGACCGAGAAACAAGAAACCCGGAATGATTTCCGATATGACAAAGCTGCTCGATTCACAAGGTGCTGGTATTGCTGTTGATGATGGCTCATAATCCTTTCTCGATATTTGTTTGTTGGTATTCGTGGTTGTGGCGTTGTTGTTGTTGTCTGTGGGGGCTGAGGTGAAAGCGAGTTTACGTGGCTGTGTAGGAGGTGGCAGCTGATGATGATGGTGTCGACTCGCTTTAACACGATTGTAATGATGTAAACGACTCGTATCCAAGCTGAAAAGACTTGATCGTCGATGAACATTGGTATTTGACCCATCGTTTGGTGCGTCATTGTTGCCATGGTTTGCTCTACTTGTCGTGCGTGCGCTCTTGGATGCCTGCATAAGCGGTGGACCAACCATATAATTGGCCCATGGATCATGCGCCCAAATAGCTTCGAATCCACCTTCAACACCATATACTGCACGTTGATCATTCTTGAGCACCGTCAATAGCATGGCTGCATGATCAGTGATGATACGATCAGCATCATATACAACAATGACATTGCCTCGCCATTTTTCATAGTACTCTTTTCCTTCCTCGGTAGCAATGAAACTTTCTAGTGAAAAGTTGGATACGATTTGTCCACGCTGATATCGCTTCACCAGTAGTGACGGGATACTGACATTGAGCGAGTGTCGAATGTGCGTTCTTTCGTAATCGTCGTAGCGGCGGACGTCAATCAAAAGGGGCGGTGGTGTCGTTGGGTGGTTCTGAAGCATGCCAACCAGTTGTGAAGGCGTTAACATGGGTCCAGGACTTAGACTAGCTTGCTGATTGAAGGCATCGGCGAGTACGTCAGTGGGATGAGTGGCGGTGCTATTCATAAAGAGCGTATCTTGTAAGGAAAGAGGTGTCCACAGTATCAAGAAACAATTGGCCTTTTTGATTGCCAGCTCCCAAAGTGAAACCTCCCATCCACACGCACATACATACATACACACATATATATATATATATATACATTTATATACCTTCCCCCATATCTTACTTAGAGACCTCCCCATTCATTGTTTTATGCTTATAAAAAGATGCAATTCTATGATATTGTTAACATGCATGAGGGTTTCCTTAAGCCATTATTAATCATGATGATGATGATGACGATGATCCACAACAGCACCTATGTTGCTCGAGATATCAGTTGACAAGACTAGCTACAGGAAATCCCCCCCTTCACATTTCTCCAAGGTTGGCCATTATTCTTTGCCAACAAGGTACTCGTCGTTCCTGAATTCTACCTTCATTGTCAACTTTAATCACGTGATTGCTCGTTGCTTCGATACAATCGTGTTACCGCTTTTAGCTATGTTTGGGCTCAATCCTTTCAAGGTATACTCATCAATTGAATAGGATGCTGCTATTATTTACAAGCTAGCTGAATTACCGATATGGCCACCAATGATGGTTACATAGCGATCGGTACCTGATTTCCTAGAGATGGCTATTCGGCTCTGTGTTTTGTGTACAGCTACAGGCAACGAGCTTGCTTGACTTTGAACATTGCATCGTGCTTTCTCTCTCTATAAGCTAACTTTTATCTTTGTTTCCGATGCCGACCAACGTGGTGGAGATCAAGCGTGCAACCAATAATTTGATCAGACGCATCACATGGGATTGTGTAGCCAAGCTGTGTATGTCTTTAGCGGATGACCAACATTGACAAGTATAACACCTGGATACTTTTCATCCTCAAAGTACCTCCTGCCAATTGTTCGAATCATCAGCTCTACATGTTTGTCGAGTTGGACGTGGAAGCGATGAGGATGGTGGATGATCACGAATACCAAATGAAGCATGTTTGTATCACCTCAAGGATCAAAGTCAGTATAGTATTTCCAGAATCCAATTTACGAGTAGTTGATCCATGTACTTTGCTCATAGGAATGGATTAGATGCTCTTGTATAACGATCGACAGGGATATCCAGGATATATATAATAATGCTATACCAGGTATAGCCGATCTTCATCAACGATTATGAAATAAGAAGTTCTATTATTGTAGTTTTTCAAGTAGTACTAATCAATACGCGGGAAATGAGATGGCACGTGTACTTTAGCATTTGAGGAATGTGAAACGGTAAGGTGGAAAGTGAGCAAAGCCTATGGATAATGCTGTACTCAATTGTTTCGCAAAGGAAGCTGATGTATACACGTTGCTGGTTGGTATGGGAAAGGAAAAAAGAAAAATAAGGGGGGTGGTTGTCATGTGGATTTCGAGCAATTGATGCTGTCAGGTATGGAAGCTGCAAGCAATTTACTTCCAAAACTGCCAGGACTTTCGCTTGGCGTCTTTCTCTGAATTGATCACCTTTGACTATAATAACCATTAGCATTAGCCATCGCCAGCTAATCGGGTGGTGGATATGAATGATACAATACCTTTTGATCCTTATTCTTTTTGAGGAATCCAAACAGCTTCTTCTTGGGTTGTTCCTTAGAGGCATTAGCAGACGTCTTACCGCTAACCTTCTTTTCCCCATTTGCAACGGGCTTTGAAGGTGCCACCTTCTTTTCTGTAGCAGGTGCATCTTTAGATTTGGGTTCAGCCTTTGCCTTGGGTTCTTCCTTGGTTGATGGCTTATCTTCCTTGGTGGATGATTCCTTGGTTGTTGGCTTGTCTTCCTTAGTGGATGATTCCTTGGCAGATTCCTTAGGCTCTTCCTTCACAGCTGGTGCCTTTGTAACCTCGGGTTCCTTTTCCTTGGATTCCTTCTTTGGTTCTTCCTTAGCCGATGATTCACTCACATCAGCCTTCTCCTCTTTCTTTTCTTCCTTTACAGCAGGTGCCTTGGTGATTTCAGGCTCGGTAGGTTTTTCAGTTACAGGTGCCTTTTCTTCCTTAGTGGATGATGATTCCTTGGTCACTTCAGGCTTATCTTCTTTCTTCTCATCCTTCTTGTCGGCTGAAACCTCATTGGTCACCTTGTCTTCCTTCTTCTCTTCAACAGACTTGGTGGCGTTAGACTGCTGATCCTCCTTGGCTGGTTGCTCCTTTTCCTTAGAAACTTCAGCTGCAGGTGCAGGGACATCTTTTTTGGCGGTCTCGTTAACGACATCGTCTTTCTTCTCATCCTTCTCCTTTTGTGTGTCGTTCACAGTGTTGGTGGTGGTAGGAGCTGTTTGTTTTTCTGATTCGGTGTTGGCGGTGACATTTGCCTTCTCCTCTTGTTTGACAGGTTGCTCCGACGCGTTAGCCTCCTTGGTCTCCTTTTCGGTGCCCGTTGGTTTCATTTCTTCACGCGACGACGATGATGATGGTTTAGAATCCTGTGTCTCGACCTTTGTGTCACCATTAGTTGGTTGTTGCTCCTGACTAGTAACAACGGGTTGCTGTTCTTTGTCGTTTTGTGTGGTAGTCGCGTCGTTGGCAGGCGCGTTGACATTGTTCAAGTTCTCAACCGAAGGTGTGTTACTGTTGCTAGGAGACGCCTTTGTGTTGTTGTTAGCAGTGGTAGCAGCCTTTTTGGCAGCAGCCTTCTTTTGACGATTCTTGCGGTTGGCACTTGAATGCTTCTTAGCCATAGTGGGATAAATGTATGTGAATGTGAAAGAGTAAAAAAAAGTGAAAGAAAAGCGAAAGAGAGAGGAAGCTTAGTTTCTGGCGGGCAAATTTTTTATGGGGGTGTTCAAGGGAAAGAGAAAGAACCCACAACCAAAGCCTTAGATTGATTGTTCAAGTTAAGCGTGGTCAATTACTCTTTTTCACAAGTGCACATTCGGGTCGGCACTAGGGCTTCTCGCCATTTTCGGAATAGCTGGTGTGCCACGAGCAGTAAAATGATTGGGTGTACCCATGTCTGTGCTGCATCAGACGTTTGCCCTTGACAGAAGCACACATCAATTGCCCATCGACAGCAACAAATTTGTTTGGCTTGTTTCTGCAATGCACGTTGCATGTCGTATCCTTCTCCTCCCTCCTTTTTAGCCCAACTTTATCATTATAGCAGGCATCCATAAGCTAATAACTCGCTTAAATATATAGTTTGATGTTGTAAAAACTTGTCACAATCACACACCTCTCATTGTTGTCTCATTTAAGCACATATTGACTACCTTCGCTGTGGTGTGCTGCAGCATGTGATGACTAGTGATTCCCACAACTTTAGTTGCATAAGTGTCTATGATGCATGTGCCCTGATGTTCGGGGATGGTATCAGGCTTGCAGCACCTGTTTGACTTTGCTCACAACAAGCTCCCCTCAACCATCTTGGAATTATGCTGCAGGATGTGAGATCATTCTTTTTGCACAAAACTATAATAATGGGTTAACTGGTTTGGACGCCATAATAACATGCGTTCGCATATGTATGCATCAAATGATCGCCCATGTTACACATGACGCTGCGAGCCACAAGGCCAACTATAGCAATTGAACAACATTGATCGCTTTGCTCATTATTCCATATTACTGCTATACACACCACACGGATTTAATCTACAATCGCATACACACACATTGCACCCATCGTATCGATATGCAGGGTGATCATATGCATACACCATTTCATTCCTTGCTTTGAGTTCAAGGAGAACAAGTAATGGGATACCAATGAAGTCGACGTGAAGATTAACAACATCGTAGTGAGAGAAGAGGAGAGAATGGATGTCGTTGCGTTAAAGATCTCATCCATCTGCTGCATCATTCCCCTATTCCCAATCAGCCCGCGTATTGAAGCTTGTTTGCCCTTCCTTCCAAATTGACCATGAGAACATGATTTCCGAGTGACGTGTGCATATGTGTATATATAAATAATAGCTGTGGGAACGAAAATGGAGAAAAACAAACATACATTTCATATTCACGTCACATTAACACAAAGCTGTATTGCCATAACAAGTCTTAGTCCGTTGACTTTATGTTGTTCACATCCTTCATTCGGATAGCGATCAAAATAGCTGTTGCAGTTACAGCAGCAGCTACCCACCCAGCTCGCTCCAAAGATGTGGCAAGTGCTTGAGCAACCATTTCTTGAATTTCGGGTCGCAAGGATGATACCTTGCCAATGGATGTGCGAATAAACTCAACCAGCTATGTAAATGGAACAATTTGGTGAGTCATGTGCACGGCTCAAAGCAAATCAAGTTGACTGAAATTTACCTCTGCTGCATCAGGGCCTGAAAGTCTATTGGATAAAATCATCTTAAGGCTGCCTTGAACAATAGCAGAGCATGATGCCACACCAACTAAGTAGCCCATGTATCGAGCCATCATGACCATGGACATAGCAGATGCAACCTCTACAAAATGTAGTTTTATGTTTAGAAAAGCAATGTAATACAAGCCATACCACGTCATTTGATCCCATAAAGAGAAAGCCTATTTACCTTCACTTGGCAAATCACTTGCAACGGCTGTATACAATGAAACCAAAAGTGCGCCATACGTGTATCCTTCTGCCAAAACGAACAATCCAGCGACCATCAACGAGGTGATTCGAGTTGCCATCCATTCTGCAACACCTATCAAGCTCAAAGAGTACAATAACGCCGAAAGAAGGAGATGCTTGTAGAATCGGCCACTCGTGTATCCAATGATTTTGCCTGCTGCAAAGCATCCCACTGGTACTGCCACAGCTTCAATCATGACCCAAACACCAGCACCACCTGCAGATGTATGCATTACACCCTACACAACACCGTGTGAGGCATGTACATGCTTATGATGCTTTAACGTACCTGGCAGAATTGTGGAATCATGATCAAAAAGGCTGCCTCGCCTGCACCAGTCAACAAAATGATCAAGCACGAGCCCACGACATTATAGTTGGATCGAGCTACGCGTGACACCAATGGATACTTGGCCCATTTTGCTTGGTAAAGGGTGAACACCACATAAAAGCCAAAGGAGGTAATAGCAGAGCCGATGATGATTGGATCACTCCATGCTCGAATGTTGCCACCCATCAATAATGTCACCGCAAGCAAGATGTTACCACCAGCAAGCATGGCTATACCAGGGAAATCAATCATGCGAAGGCTACGTTGTGATTGACCAGCTACTTTGTAGCTCTTAAGATGGAAGGTGTATACATACAATAAGAGCAACAATGGCACAATGTTAATCTTGAAGCAGTATCGCCAGCCCAAAGTATCAGTAATGAAACCACCCAAAGGTGATCCGAGGGGAAAGCCGATCTAATGCATATCAACGTAGGTATCAGCGTAATTGAAAATCATACATCTTTCGATACCTACGGTCTGCACGGTGCTAATGTAAGAGAGGTAACGATTACGTTGATCAGCTGGTACGACATCATGAATGACGACGTTCCCTAAAAGATTCAATCCACCACCGCCTAAGCCTGCAATGGCTCTGAACACGATCATTTGGGTGAGATCACTAGCATAGCCGCATCCCACAGAGCCAATGAAGAATAATGTCGTCAAGGTCAACAATACCGGTCGTCGTCCAACAATATCAGATAACTTTCCAGCTAGCGATTAAACAAAGTTGGTGATTAAAAATTATGATTCACGCATATACATAAATGCATGTTTATACAATACATACCTATAGGCAATGTGATGAGCGAGCAAAGGGTATAACTGCTTTGGATCCATGCGATCTGGTTTGAGCTATTGTGCGAAAAATTGGTGAGCTCCGCATGTTTGTATCACCAGCATGCTGCCTCATTAGTAAACCAACCTTTCGAAATCAGTGCCAATGCGGCTCATTGCAGTGTAGACAATGGATGTATCCAAGCCAGGGAGACATGAACCGATTGCAAGGCTACAATTTGGATGTGAGTATAATTCGGCCACTTTGACATCAAAGGTAATACCATAAAGTGAGAGTTGCAAGGCTAACGCCTATCCGTTTATCGGTTTCAAAGGGAGATGCAACATTGTCGGTGACCGTGTTGTAAGATCGTGTTGAATGCCGATCACTGGAATCGACCAAAGGGCTATTTTCCTCTGTAGTACTACGCATGACGCTGCATGCAAAGGCAAAGATGAAGGTAAAGAAGCAGAACAAGTGTGGTTTGTAATGTTAAACCAAATTTTTTTTCTTTTCGCCTGCTTTCTCCGCAAACAAAATGCAATGTCGCGGATTTGTAACACAAAGTGGATGACATCGGACACCCAGTCCTTGGTATTTTCACCACGCTATTGAGCCATCTCACAAAAATGATTGCTTCCCTAAATGAACTTGCTCATCCAATTTTCACATATCTCTATCGCTCCATGACATGGGTGTGGTCGTTGAAAACCTAGATACGTTCTTGGCCTATATTATAGCAATCATTGAAAGGGTCTTCATGTGCATTCATTATGTCAAATTTTGAGCCAATCATCGTTACACAGTGCCTGGGAAAGTATGGTTGAGCTTAAAATAAAAAATGTCTTCAGCGGATAAAAGATTGCATGTATGTGAGTGATGGGACAAGATGCAAAGCAGTGGTCGATCATGGTTTCTGCTTTTGTAGATCCAAGCTTGCAGCAGCCGGTTGATTCTCTTTGACATCCAGCTATGCGATGTACACGTCTTACCTTCACAACCTTGTCCCTTAATACCTTGTGAGGCTATTGGATGACACCTAATGGTGGTGATCCAGGTACTAGTATATTGCTAACATGAACACTAGTAATACCACGCTTCTGGGATCCTTGTTAAACACCACGCTTTGAATGATATGTCATCTTTGAACGTCTTTGATGCTGAACACTGGTATGTCCAAGACATGGCTAATGCGTTAATTCTTTTAGAGTGCATGATGAAGTTGTTGTTTACAACCTAAGCGTATCATCATAGGCGTTCATATTCAACATACTATAATCCCATTTCCTGGTATCACATGTCTTGTGCCCTCAAATTGGCTTCTGCTATGGATGCACATTAATGATATTATCCAGAGGTCACATGCTGGTGGCGCTACTGGCTGTTTCAGAATATGTGGAGCAGCGAATCATGCAGCAAATCCTTACGCACCTATCACATCCCTGCATCAGTTCGGCTCTCACAAGCGAATATCGGCACCCAACGATGATGGTGTGCTTATTTCAAGGCACCACATTCACCTTTCGCTACAACAAGCTACGCCACTTGATGCATTGCCATGGCAACAGGGGCCTAGGCAACCAAAATCTTGGGTCAAATTTTCCATCAGTGCTTTACAGGGATTCTAAAGCCGCTGATCATATGCGTAATCAAGATCGGCTTTATGATGTTGCTATTGATGTTGTATTTGCATAGTCGAGCCACCTCGTGGTAATCGTGTATAGATTACTGGTATTTGCAACTTAATAAAATCAGGTATTGTTTGCACATTAATGCATGCCTCAAACGCATGCACGTTCTAAACATGACCCATCATTCATCACATTTCAATGGTGTGTAACTATTTGTGTGCATTGGACGAACATGAATCATCACCTGGATTTAATTGGGCTGTTGTGCGTGCATGGTGATGCTTCAATGCTAATGGCAGGCTGTTGCGGTATAAGCTAGTTATTTTCATTAACGAGCTGACAAGTGATTTAAGGACACGCGTTAAAGATCAGGACCCTGTAATCAAGCTTATCACTCATTCTCAGCGCACGATCTTACATTGACGATCATGTTTACTTACCCCAAATCACTGGCGCTATGGTAACGTGAGCTGCATCACTGAAGCCAACAACAGCAGCAGATAGCAGATTTTGGTGTGCTTAAAGCGTCACCTTTCAATTGGGTTACCGTATTCGGCCTTGAGTAAAGATAGAAAGCTGTAACACTATCAACGTTTCGGAAGCTTCCGTTGCCCATTTTGATGTCACCTTTTCTAAATCTTATGCTCATGTAGTCACTTGTTGCTGCGCACCATCGATAATCTTGACTTTTGACAGATAACATTGCCAGGTCTCATAATGCTTCTTTGAATAATGCAAGATGATGATGATGGCTTGCTGATACAACCTAGTGTTAATGATGCATACCATAATTCCTACAATGGCCTTTGTAGTAGCGATTCATAATGCCCGATGAGCACGACATCTTACGATCAGCGTCGGATGACTGGGTGTAACAAACACCCGGTTCACTTGTAGGTCGTGCGAGTATTACACATGCATTCTCATGTAAAGCATACCTAATACATTGGGATTTTGATCATCATCCACCACTGCTATGTACGTGAAAGCCAATGTATAATAATGTAAATGACCCATGTTATTGAGGTGATCATTGTAATAGACATACACGATAAAACGAGCATTACGCCAAGAGTGAGATGTAAAGAAGGGGAGGAGAAGAGTAGAGTTTGTTTCAGGTACAATGTTGTTGATGATGGTGATTGGCTGACAATATTAAAAGGCGAGACTACTACTTCTGAAGCGTCATCAACATTGGGGTTCCCAATCTCAACTTTCGTTGTGCATACGTGCATGGCCCCTTCACCGAAATATCGAAGAATTCAAAAACATGAACAATGCAGAAGGGAACCACAACACGTACCCATTGTGCAACCTTGACCTTTTTTGTTATGATCACCAGCCGTGTAAAGGAGACGACAGGCGCCACCTCCCGACCCACGGGTTCCGTTGTTACGTTGAGAGTAAACAACAAGTTAGTCCACGTACACCGCAGCATGTACCATGGAGTGTAAAATAATCAAGCATTGCTATAAAACACCTGCTTTTTACCTCGCAACAAAGGTATTTTACTTTCATTCTCGTTTCTTTTATCCCAAGAACTCCTTTACTTCTCACTATGTCGAACCAACGTTTTATCACTTTGCATAAACCACAGGAGCAAGAACAGCCTGTTGGTGAACTTCAGCTATCCTCAAGAGCCTTACGCCCAAGTTTGATCAGTGGAAACACAATGAGCAATATGGGGTATGGTGGAGAAATTGCATACAATCCTGCAACGCTGCCAACAATTCCGGATTTTGACCTTTCATTGTATGATGAAAACTTACAACAACAGCACGCTTTTGGCCAATACAACAACCTTGAGACTGGGATCAACGGCTACCAGCAATGTAGTACCGAAGTTGACATTGTCAACAGCTACTTGCCTTCTCCTTCCATTAGCTATTCAAGCAGCACAACCGAAGACTTGGGTAGTAGCGGGGGTATCGTTAGCACATGGTCTGTGCACAATATAAACTCCATCGTTGGATCCACACCTGGAGCTTCTCAACAACAATACCATCGACATCACCATCAAGCAACGTTTTCAACAAGCGGATCGGCATCAAGTTTCTCGACACCACCATGGTGTACTCCTCTTTCCCCTGTGTCCAATAGCTCCATTGCGGTATGTACAAATTGGGAAGTTCCTGCTTGGATGTTGTGCTCATTCACACCAACCATGATTAAGAATGACTGCATCAGCACATTCAAAGTTATTGGCTACAAATGGAACTTTGACGATAAGCTGCATTACAATGCAATCACTGCCAGGGTCGACCCATTGCTAGATGATCCCAAAAACCTCCCACCAGGACCTTTCTTTGTGGCTCGTAGATACGTACCCAAAAGTCACGGCATAGATGAAATTCGGATCGATTCGAATGATCGAATCATGGTCTATCGTGTCATGGAAGATGGATGGTGCGTTGGTGGAAAATGCTCAGCTCCCCTTGTATGCGGTTATTTTCCCGTTGGATGCCTCTTGATGGAATCACTTTCACAACTTGACAATACGCACCCGCATCTCGCTGATATCTGGCGCCGTTTTTCGGATTGTACACGAAAACCCCCCACTCGCAAAGAATCATTGGTGTGTCTTGCCTGTAACGGTAATTCCGATTTCCAGAGTCGTAAGAGCTTGAACCGCCATCTCCGAACCAGCATAAAGCACAGACCTCGCCATCGTCGAAGGCAATGCAAAGCATGTGGTGAGTGGCTATCTAGGACAGATGCTTTTCGTAGGCATCAACGAAGCCAACATGATGGCACACCACCATAGAGTCAATGACTCTATCGATTGTAAACTTCAATGATCCCGACAGTAGTAGTGCAACATGCTCTTTCCAGTTTTCTTTATCATGAGTGTTTATGCTTTTACGTCACGTCTCTCGCATCACACATGGACTATGAAAGGCGCGCGTTCTTCATTTGTCATTGCTGCTACAAGCGCTTTTGATGTCCTCGTGATGATTGCGATCGACTTTCGGTCTTGTATCGCCGCCCATCGCATCCTTCTCTTTGAAACACGGTCATTGCCCCTTACACACTCCCTGCTGAGCCCATTCTTTTTCAGTAACACTCGCCTCTCATTTTACTATCACACATTCCATTCCCTTGTTCCTATACCATTCCTCTCGTTGTAATCCTCCAAAGTTTTTTATGCTATCACTTTATGCCCATTTCCTTTACTCAATTAAACTATAACACTTACTGTCGGTGTGGCTACTTAAGATGGGACCCTATCAACCATGTGGCGGTAATCTGACAGATGGTGTGGTATGTAATTCTGTCAATTGATGATCCTTATTTGTACATGGCCTTAATAGGAGATTTACTGGATCTGTCAAGTGAACATTTCCATGCATGGTATGTCACATGATGAAGCTGGTATACCACCAATCCTTTAATCTCATGCATGATAGGGTTGTTTTGTTCAATCATCAATGGTACGTTGGCATGGATATAAAGAGAGATATTGTTTCTTTTTTACAACTTGGAAGTATTCTTATGCAAAGTGGCATAACCATTATTGATAACAACAACATCACGCTCCTTGACCTTGACAGCAAAGATGACACCTTGAACGTTGGGATCCTTGTCATCCACCTTCCACATGTATACTTCGAGAGTTTCACCAGGGAAAACAGGGCTAGCGAAACGGCCTTCAATAGACTTGAAGCGAGAGCGATCATTACCACCAAGATGCTTCAGGATGGCGTGACTAGTGATACCATAGGTGCAAAGACCATGTAAAATGGGAGCGGGGAAACCGACCTTGGGAGCCAGCTCCACATCGGCATGAAGAGGGTTGTAATCACTAGTCATCTTGTGTTAGTGCAAATTGCTAAGGTGTGCATAACTATAAGCCCTTACCCCGACAAGCGATACAACAAAGCTTGATTGACAGCAGTAGGAACAACATCAACAACATCAGGCTGGCGTTTGGGAGGAGGATAAGCGGTGGCCTTAGGACCCTTGGGACCCTGTACATAGAAAACATTCGCCATCAATCATCATAATGATCATCATGCAACAGTAATACTTACACCCCAACCACCGTAACCACGAACGAATGACTTTGAAACCATAGTGCAGTACTTGGTGCCATCGTTGCCAACCAAATCCATGGTAGTTTCAATCACCATACCAGAGCCCTTGTCATAGACACCACTGCATGTCTTTTCTAATGAAAAGTCGCCACCATTGGCAGGAAGAGGCTTGAAGACTTGGATGGATTGTTCACCGTGTACGATCTTGTTGGGATCATATGCAGGCATACCAGGAAGAGCTTCACCTTGCGATCGCTCCTTGAACAGGTTCACGTCTCCCCCATTGCCCTTTAGGGGAAGTACCAGAGGATAGAATGGAAGAGGGCCAAAGTTGGGATCTACACTCAATGTCAACCATGATGCTCTCCCATGGGTCGCCATGGAGACACTTACCAAGCTCATACAAGTACTTGAGTTCATTTTCCTTGACACCGACAGCCAAAGCATAGAGAATAAAGTCGCGACGGTTGCAGTTCACCTAATGTATCATTGTATAAGGGAACAAGGAAGATACAGCAAGAATTCGGTATTACCTTGGAAGGAGAGAATTTGTGACCGACAGCCTTATTGACATCCACCTTGAAACCTTCAACTGGCATTGTATATGATAATAGTAAGCGAATAAAAGAAAAGAGATGTAGTGTGGAGAAGGTTGTCTTTATATGCGCTCTCCCCATGTTTCCCGGCGGTAAAATTTATCCTTACTGCTCACTAAGCAGAAATGCTCCCACCAATGGAGGGGTTTTCCCACCCAAAACTGAATTCAGTCATGCAAAATGTGTGTGTGTGTATTGCATCCATGGTATAATCCTTGTACTAGTCTAAAAGCCCATCAACGTTGGTGGTTGCTGCTGCTTTTGTTCTTCAGTAGCCCATCCTCTTCGCCCAGCAGTGGTCGTTGTAGCAGTGGCAGCAGCAGCAGCGGTGGCAGCCGCATATTCCGCTTCATGCTGTTGTCGTAATAACGCTTTATCCTCCATCAATAATGCATTGGCAATCTTGATTGCTTCGTCTTCCTCTTCATCATCATCATCATCATCCTCAACATGATTAGTGATAGGAATAGGCTCCTCTTGTTGTTCATCCTCATCATCACCAACCACATTCAGCTCGTTGACCACAGGATCCTTTTCATCCATCAATTCATATAATAGCATGTAGGGATTCGATTGCTGTACGTAATCAAAAGAACAAGTATCCACCTTTGTGTCTGATATGCGATACCACGTGTCATTGTTGCCATGCCAACATTCCTGTTTCTCCTCATTGCTGCTGGTGCTACTGCTGCAGTGTGCACAGACACATTGATCGACAGTGATCCGCCGCTTGAACGCCACATAATGACCATAGCTGTGACTACCAAAATGAACGATCGTGCTCATCAATCGATATTGTGCAGCATTCTTAATGCTGGTATCGGTATCATTCTTGGTGTCCAAAGATGCTGATGATGAGATAGGCATATTGGGTTGTGTGCTTAATGTGCCATTTGTTGTATATGCTGACAAGTCGAGGTATTCTGGAAATAGAATGCGGCATCCATTCTTGTAGACGGCACCTGATGAATGAAATGCTGATCGTGATAAATGCAAGCATAGGATCTTGGGTGGTTTGGCAAACATGACTTGCTTGCTGGTGAGCCTGCTCACTGTTTTTCGAACCCATTGTTCTCCTTGCCCATCCTCTTCTTCATCCAACTTATTCTCGATACGTCGTGATCGCAAATGTCGTTCGATGATCCGGCATCGTTCTTCAAGAGTCTGTAATCGTCGTTTCCTTTTCCTCTTCTTGTGTATATCAGCAGCTTTCATTTTGGAGATCTCGGCTGATAAATGTCGATGCGTCGATATCAATGAACATCGGCGACATGTTGCGTCTTGTAAATATTCGATGGATGTAAATTGGCTTAGACATTCGTCTAGCGTGGTGGTATACTGTGTTAAGATATTGTCAACAACATCCCTTTTATCCCTTGATTCATTGTTACTTACTGCATGCGGTAACATGAGCTGAATGTTGTTGAAAGAAAAATGCCGTATAGCCTCCTATGTATCCACAATGAATCAATTCGCTGACCAATCACCTTGGTTGATGGATGCTTACCGTATATCCACATTGCATACAAGATAATCGACTCGCCAGCAAGCCAGTGAATGGGGATGAAGGTACTCCTGATGAAGATTTCTTTGTTGATAACAAGCTCTCCATGCCGCTTTTGGATGTAAATAAACGATGGCATTCTGTATCAATAGCACCAGAAAGTAATTGAAAGAATTCTTGAGCATCTTGCTGATCACGGTTGATGATGACATTGTGATGAGTGGTGAGAGCAGTAACGATATCCACCGGCCGAAATGCTGTGCGTCGATCAAGTGGCCTTGACAAGAGTCGGATTGTTTTCAATAACGATTGTGATACAGGCTGTGTTTGTCGCTGTGGATCATTCAAGTATGCATGAAGTCGTGGTAATGAGGACAAAGCCTGTAAAAGAAGACCTGTGAGAACAATGAATGCTAATCATTATGCAGCTGCTGTTACCTGTAATACCGAATTCAAGAAGCATGAGTTGCCGGTGTTCACCAAGCCTGCTGTTATGGCACCATCCTCCTCCTTATTCAAGCCTTCGACACACACAACGCCCTCTTGTGAATCATACGAAGTCGTAATCGTGCCACTCAAGAAAAAAGGAAGCAAATCGAAGCGTAAAAGGCGGTCGAATGTAGCATCAAGCAGCCCACATAATAGGTCGATCAGGTCGTAATAGAAAGAGTAAGACTTGAGAATGGGAATAAGGATCGCCAGTAGACCAATGATAGCTGTCAACAACTGGGCATAGGCATAGACGTCATTCAAGAACAACTGGATGGATTCCAGCGTCATTTGCACAAAAGAGAGCAACGGCAAGTCGAACAAGTGGACGTGTTCAGCAAGTCGCTTATCCAATGAAATACCTGCTGTAGCAAGCACCACCGCCAACACCACCACATGTATCCACCATTAGATCGAGTTGACGTAGATCCATCATGTCTTTACATAATAAATGCCATGTTTACATAAATAGACTAGAGGATCTCAAGATCCAGAACATCAATGTAATGTTGTTTCCTGGGATACCACCTATCAATGTCCCCTTGGATACCACCTCTTGGCGCATATGCGGGTCAAATCTTTTCCTTTTTTCTGCATCCCTTTGTGTATACGTATGCAAGCAATTAACGACGAGTACCCACAAAATAGGATGAAACAATAGCAACAGAGGTGGAACACTTGTACGTGGTAATGCAAATGATTAGAAAGAGAAATGCCGATTTCCCAAAACAGGATCATCAGAATGATGCGTGTGCATATGTCAACAAACGAGAGGTAAAACATCAAGTAGGTCATGTTTCTCAATGGGTAGATGATTTACTCTCTCCCCCAATAGAACAAAGGAGAACGGCGAGTGTTGCTGACAATGGGCTTTATCAGGGAGCATTGCGCGTGTCTCGTCCGCAATGAATCACATTGGGAAAATTCTTGGTGCCAGGAGCTTATTTCGCCGCTGATGATGTCAATTCCAAAGACCACGGGAACACCCTTGGCAATAATTATACAAACAACCATTTTCTTTACTTTTGCCCCCATCTATCGGAACCGATGGCTCATCACTGTCAGCTGCCTCTCGCAAAAAGTGCTCTCACTAGTATTATACCCACTTTTCTTACAACAACACAGCAAGAGGGATGAATGCGTTACACGCTGGCGACTTTTCAGAAAATTAAAAGGCAAATTGCTATCACATACACGAACCGCGGGGTGTAAAGTGTCACAAGCGATATTGGGTGAGTGTGCACGTAAGCTGTGGATGATCCCAAATCACCACTCTGGAGCAACGTTAAAGTAATTTCTACCACGACATGCATTTTGGTACATTTTACATAAGCGGTCTTGGAAGTCGATTGAGTTGTATCAGCGCGCTATTACGAGCTAAATGGCAAAATGAATGTTTCAGACGGAGTAGATCATGAGGATATCAGGGTGTAACTGACGATGATGGATGATAGAACAACGATGACAAAATGGGGTCGTCTAGTGCCTTTGTCCAAAAGCGGTGATCGGGGCCTGCTTATAGTGGCTGGTGGGGTCCCTTGAGTCTTGGCTCGTGGCACAGGGAAAGGTGCCCTAGGTGTGTGACTAACGTTGTCTGCCTATGTTGAGGTGAATTCGCTATTTGATCCAAAGAGAGCGATTTTATCAAAATCATAGCCCCCATCATCCTTCCTTCTCCCCCCAATCCGCTGAACTTCCAATCATACACAACATAGCCCAAGATGACAGCCGATGCCTCTTGGAAAGGAGATGCATCATCCCATTCACACAGAGCACGCGCTCAATACACACACACACACCGCCCAACAAAACTCGTTCTGAAAGGATCCGCTCATTCCTCTCTCTCTTTTTCTTCCTTTCTATCCACATCACTCTTCACTGCTCACCCTTTATTGCCTTTGTTACTATCCCACATCCCGGCCAGCACATACCATCAGCTACAAAATCATACATTGCCCATCAACATCATTGTATTTCCCATCCCTTACTATTATTTATATTATCATAATCTGGTATAACTACAATCCCTTCCTTGAAATTCTGCGCTGTCTTGGTAATGATTTATTCCCGTGTCCTGAAACCAGATCGTCATTATCATACCAGCAGCAGCAGTAGAAGTAACCTGTTAAAGCAGTCTTTTTGGCAGTGACGCTAAGCTCATCGAGAAGCAAACCTGTTTGCTTTGAGCTCGCACCACTATACACGCATATATATATACACATCTCCCGTTTGCATTTGCATTTCCTTATTACATTTCTTCTTCGCAGAATTATATTCTACCACGTTCACAAGGTAAAACTAAAAGCAAACAACATGTGCAATGACGCAAGGTGCTGACACATGCGCATGACAATAATAATAGCAGCACCCTGACATGCCACTGATCAACGGAATCAAATTTGCCTGCAACAGCTGTATCAAGGTAAGAAGCCATTTCCTCGTATACGACATGATGCTGATCTTTGTGCACATGTAGGGCCATCGATCATCCCATTGCAATCATGTCGAACGCCCACTCTTTGAAATTCGACGAAAAGGAAGACCAGTGACCCAATGTACGTATTGCAGAGATCTACGAAAGACCAAACAAGTGCACGTCAAATGTGTGTGCGGTGATCGAAAAGGTGATCTACAATTTCAATTCTTTTATGCTTAATCTGTATCTGACTGGTAAAGTGTGACATGGTTGTTGTCTCTCCTTGTCACTAGTTATCCGGTCGTCGGCCGACGCGTCGCCTTCCTCATCCAAAACAATTTTGAGCAGCAGCAGCAACAACAACAGCTTTAGAAACTTTTCCCCGCCTCAATCGGAGCCACTATTTCTGGAAGCTCGTGGATCAGCAACAACAGTAACAGCAGCAGGTGATTGTCCCACCACAATCACAACAACAAATGTAGCGATGGGTGGTGATATTGGCAGTGAGACGTTACCCACGTCGTCATCTTCATCATTTTCGTGGGCATGGATTAGTCCACAACAACCACCACAACAGCATTTGGGCTTTGTGTTTCAAAAGCCCCACCAAGGCGAGCAATCTGTCAATGATTACACGATCACGCCCAGCACAAGCACAACAATGACCACACGCCCATTTCGTCAAATATCACCTGCTCCTGCTGTTCCATCAGCAACTACACCATTACCCAGCACAATAATATCGACCACGGCTTTTGATCATAATCAACCACAACAACCTTTTGCACCAACACCTACAGCAAGTACAGGTCTTGTGAGTACCACCACAACGGTTACCCCACCACCACCACCACCACCACCACCTCCAACCACTGATGAGAATGATCCAATGGTACAACAGCTTCTCAACAGCCTGATAGCACGACCATCTAATCAGGATACAACCACTATTGCTGCAACTCCCACCACATCATTTTCACCACCACCCCCATCAATGTATCAGCATCAATCAATGATGCCACAACAACATACACCACCGCCACCGCCACCACCACCTGCTACATCCATGTGTCGTGGTGGATGTTGTTCATGTCCGCCTACTGATACTAGCATGGCACAAGGTGAATCGGTTGTGATCACCATCACCCCACTCCCGAAACAGCAAGGTGGAGGACAACAAGATCACACGACGGCAACAACCATGACGCGTGTGGTAACATGCTATTGTGGCCCATCCTGCATTTGCCCTGATTGCCTGGTGCATCCTGGTAACTCCTTCTTAGCCAATATGGATCCATACGCTGGGCTGATGAATCCACATCAGTCATCATCCTCATCTTCGTGTGGCTCCGATGATGATTGACTCGTGCTTCCCCATTACAACAACAACATTACATCTTGGTGACCTATGCTCTTCATCATTCTTAAAAGCGCTCAGGCGTAATCCAAGCATACCTACTCCCCTACACTCATTCTATAAGACGTTCGCGTATGTATATACAAATCCCGTCATCATCAACTTTTTACCACAGCCGATCTTTATGTACACATGCAACAATTATTATGCTATGGACAATATAATGTGATTTGGTCGAAATAGAACATGCTTCTTTTTTCCTATCATGAGATTGACACATTTGTGAGTTGTACAAAAGAGGAATTATGATGCTTCCCTTTCTGTTACATAACAGGACTTTTTTTTTACCCATTTTGTGTTGATAGCTGCAGTGTGAAGGTTTCGGGGTGAAAAAAGGTACAAATAATCAACGTCATTTGCATTGTGTGCATGAGATGGTGTATCATCGTTTGGGTGGTGGTGTTGCTTCCTATACATAAAAACAGCGGTTTTGTGTGTATATGTATGTATGCATGCGCCTCTTTTGTCCTCGTGGAAAATGGTCATTCTCTCCCTTTCACTCACTACTCCTCTCATATTGCGAATGCATATGCATGGATGATGGGGGAGAGTGTGCAGAAATAGCATGCTTGGCAAATGATCGACATCAAAGATTCTCCCATGATGATGATGTTCTTGTTGTTGTTGCATAGGAGGATCTATGGCTGATGCAACAGCCTATTACATAGTGGCAATGGTTATACGTGCTCCTCATATGTGTATGTGTATCATCTCTGAAACACTCATTAGCTGTTATGGATATAGCTGTCGTGTGATGGGCTACAAAGGAGATCCAACCCTGGCAAAATGTATGCTGCCATAAACTTGTTTTATTGTTTCTTTTGTAAAGCTCCTTCGAATGATGAGTTGGGGAAGATTATTTAACACCGCGTTGAACCACAGTCAATAGCTGCAGCCTAAATGAGCCAAGAAGGCGTTGTGCATGATTGTGCAGAAGGAGTAGGAGGAGGAGGATGAGGAGGAGAAGGTAGAATGAGAAGAGTGATAATGGCAAACGAAGAGAGGCGTGCGTGTTGTATCCAAGGCAATGGATATTCGGGCCGATGGGCGATGATATTGGATTGAATTGACATGAGCGAAAAGGTTGTTGCTGTTGTAAATAGCTTGTGCAACGCTGCACAATATCGCGCTTTAATTGAACAAGTTGGATTAGTACCATCAGCAACACATGAAAGCGATTACCGACGAGCGGCCGTGCAGGGTTGTCTAGCGTGTGCTTTGTGTATCACACAATCGTAATAATAACTTTGGCGAGTCCAGACACACTCGCACACAACTTCTTCTTTGTATCCCTTTTATTCTTCTATCACTCTTATATGCCCGCTTTGGGCTGTATTTTGCTTCCTTGCTTTGTACCTGTTTCTTATTAATATTGTCATTAATCCTTTCTTATCCACTCCTTTCTCTCTCTTTCTCTCTCATTCTTCATGGCCGGCTTGGAAACGGTCTATGCCATTCACCACTTTGAGGCCGAAAACCCAGATGAAATTGCATTCGCAGTTGGTGAGCCCATCATTGTCCTCGAAAAAGACGATGGCTACAACGACGGTTGGTGGCAGGTTCGTCTACTCTATTAAAAAAGGCGCGACATTCGCGTGTATTGACCTCTTCCTCTAATGACAGGGACGCAATGTCAAAGGCGAGATCGGCTTGTTCCCCATGAACTATACTTCGCCACAACAGCCCAAAAAGTCACGATCACCATCAATCGATGATAGCATGAACAAGCTACAACTTTCACCCTCTATCAACAATAACATCCTCCATCAACAACAGCTTCCAACACCTTCGACATCCGCCTCAACAACGCGCCGATCACCCGATCTTCGTAACAACTCAATCTCCTCAATCGCTTCTTCAAAGTCTCAACAACAACAAAAGCAACATCAACATGCTGGCTCATCACCATCACGACCGTTGACTCTTTCAAAGAATGTACACAAGCTATTGGCAACCGCGTTAGCACTTCCCGAACTTAAATCAACATTGCCGGAAGATTGGACTGTGGATCAAGTGGCTGTGTGGATGGATGCTATGGGCTTCGACGCTGTTGCTGATAATTTCAAAGGTAAGTTTGTTTACCCAAGAGAAATGTCCTCATCATTGCTCATACTTCATGGCACTTTTAGCACAAGAAATCACTGGTGATATCTTATTGGAACTTACATTGGATTCCCTAAAGGAGTTGGAGATCAATACATTTGGCAAACGATTCAAGATCCATAGTGCTATCAATGCCTTACGAGAACATTGCAAGCAGGCTTCTTGCGAGGTATATAGTATAAAGTATGTTGGGGTTTCGTTTCCATGGCAATTGACGCATTGTTGTATAGGATCGTGCAACCACTACTACCACTCCCGATGATACTCGATCAAATGATGACACCACCACGTCCCGCTCACTTTCCTCACCACAAATTGCTGCAAGTGATTATGCATCATCCACAACATCCGACGAGTATCCTCAAGCTGCACGACTTTATACCATGGATTCTATCCCTTCAACAACACCACCAATACATCAACATCATCATCATCATCATCATCCACTGCGTGGACCAGCAGCTTATCGACATAGTGAGGAGAGCATCAGGAGCAATCACAGCATTCGACCTATGGAACAACAAGGTTTAACCCGCAGCCAATCGATGCTAAAGCAACAACCGCAACATCCAAGTCACCGACAACCGCCAAATGTAGAGCTGAGTACAAGATCAGCAGGACGCAATCCATCGGTAGGACATGTATGGATGGGCATATGCATTGCAGCTATCATGCCTAACAATTGGTCTTTAGGAAAATCACTCATCATTACCACCACCAGCATCATCATCATCATCATCAACGAGACCGTAAGTAATATGTGGATGGCTGACACCGAGATTGAGGAATGCTAAATGATATCTGTGTGGTATACAGGATGGTGCGTAATTCGTTTTCTCCTACATCCAAACCTCAGAATGTCGTACCTGTCGCAAGTCGGGCTTCTATGGATAGTCTACTTCAACGCTCTACACAATTGGATGTCGTGCCCGACATGGAGGGCTGGTTGCATAAGCAAGGCGACAAGTATAAAACGTGGAATAGGCGGTGGTTTGTGCTCAAGGGTCCCAATCTATTTTATTTCAAGAGTCCAAAGGTAAAGGGAAAGTGTTTGGATGTTATCATAGGATCGGTGTTCATGGGTTTATGTAGGATGTGAGGATGAAAGGGATCATCAATTTGCGAGGGTACAAAATCATCAATGATGAGACGATCTATGCTGGCAAATACTGCTTCAAGGTGCAACATGATCGAGAACGCACATTTTATTTCTACACCGAATCCCAACGCACAATGAAGTCATGGATGAATGCATTGATGAAGGCAACTATTGCCAGGGACTATGCAGGTAAAGAAAGGGGGTCTTTATACGTGAAGTTACGATGCTGATTTTTCGACAGCTCCCGTTTTATCATCAAGTACAGTACCCACGGTGTCATTAGATATGGCACGCCGCATGAAACCTCGTCCACCTTCAATGATATTGTACAAGAAAGATGAATTCAAAGGACAAGAGCAGCTATCTCCTATCATGGATGACTCCCCGATCAGCCCTTATGCACAACAAACGCGAGAATCAGGCATCACCGATTATGATGATGAACCACATTATCGACCGGATAACAACGAGAAGAGCGAGAAGCGACAATCACCACGTGTTTCTTCGGATGATCAGGAACCCGAATCTTTCAAATCACCATCAGCTGCTTCTTTGGATGATTCTGGATTTCAAAGTGGACCCATCTCCTCTATACTCAGCCCACCCCACAGCAGTAGTACCAGCAGTAACAGCACATCAAACACCACTACCATTCACCATCGATACCATGTTGGCAGCTCTGATGAGGATTTGATTGATCCACAGCATACCAGCATGCTCACAACAAGTCGCCCAGGAGGTCTTAAACGGTTAACTGAAGAGAGTCATTTGAGCGTCAACGCATCTATTTGGAGCACAACCGATTACATTGACTGGTTGCAGCAAAATGTGGATCGTAAAGTGACAAGTCTTAGCGATTTGCGTACGGGCGACATCTTGATTGAGCTATTGGAAAACTTGAGTGGCAAAGATGTACGACGACCACCCAGTACTGCCAATTCCCCTGCCAACATGCAGATGCTGGATAATATTGTTGCTGCATTCAAATTTATGGGTCGTGAAGGTGTTGAAGTGGATGGACGATATACCATTAAAGGTAAACTTGGTGATTGAGATGTATGCATACGGTATTCTTATTAAGTTCGATCTATAGATGTGTTTGGAGCAAACGAGTCAAAGATTAAGGAAATGCTGGATGCCATCAAGACATGGTCAGACACCTCTCACAATGACAAGAAAGCAAGTGGAGGAACTTTTGGAGAAGGCAATTTCAAGGGATTGGATCAAGACACAACATTGTCTTCCTTTGCCTAAATGATATCACAACACAACACATTCACCTATACTTATTCTTTACCTGCTACCTGCTACAATATTTTATCAACCACTCGACGTTCATTTATATTAGCTTCTTTGTCTTTGCATGCTTGCACAATCATACATGTTTTTAATACACCATTTGTCATTATCATGTTGTAACAACATCATACCCATTTGGTTTACTTTTCCATCGTAGCGTTGCATGTTTAGAAGCGGTTCGATCGAAGCACAATACCCACAAGTTGATGTCTATAGTATCTGAGTTGAACAACTTGTCGGACAAAGGCAACCCCTGGTTCTAGAAGAAATAATGGGGGAATTTGGTGGATATTTAGTCCGATTCTATTCTTCCAAGAATCGGATGCCCACACCTGCTTCCAGCGATTAAGCAACGGGAGAGTTCGCTAACACTGATAGCCGTTTGGCAATGAACAGGGTTTGATAGTAGCCTCTCGAAATTACTACAATAAGAGTGTACATAAAGAAAATGAAAACAGCATGTGGAGCATGCTTGCCATCCATGCCTAAACAAACGACATGGTTGATGTATAAGAAAGGGCCTAATTCTATTGGTGGAGAAATGCATGATTGATTCTTCCCCTGCCTGCTGCCGATAATAATAAGATCCGCGTATGATAGCTTATATGGATTGGTCCGTTCTTATACAAGTTGGAAACTATCATAGGCAAGCATGGTAGGCTCATGTGCTCGTGAAGCATTGTATCACAATCCACTCTTCCTTGAAGATAATGAATTAAGCTTACAATGAACCAAGCTTTTATAGCAAGCATTATGTTAGGCAACATCACTCTCGAATTTATTATCTTGCAATACACTCGTTTGAGGATCTCCCCTGCTTTTCGTCTATCAATACGTGAACTATGAAGCTTTACTGAGGTCATAAAATGTTGTTGCAAAAGAATAAAAGCATGGCGATACGACGATGTAATGATTCATTTCACTTTGCGACCTTCTATTTCTGTTCCCTCTTTCAAACTAGAAACCAACCAAGTGATCCACATCTTGCCCATAAGAGCTCATACTATGGTACCCCGAATATCATGTTCAATCCAATTTTCATTCCATGAAAAGGTCGAAGAATAGCAAATGGTAGTGTAGGTGTCTATAGTAAATATGATAAAGGAACAGTATTGCAAAGATACGAGGGGTGAATCACATAGAGGCCACAGGGATAAGGGTGTCATTGCATTCTTGGTTGCTGCCGTCATAAACGTCGTTTGTTCCATGATCCAAAACCCGTCGCTGCATAATATGACTTGAGTATTCGAATGCCATCCATGGCTGCAAAACACCATTCGTCAAAGATACAAGCCCTTTTGCCAATTCCATCCAATTCACCATCATCCTTACCCGTATCCACGCGATATGATCCATCCTTCCTGCTGACGACGCGTCAAGTAACCAAAGCAACATTCCAGGATATCTCATCACTGCACTTGATTGCATCCATCCATCAAATCCAACATGTTGGTTGAAAAGAGCCATGTGATCGCTGATGGTATGCTTGCTTTTTGATCCGGGTGTTGGTGTATCTCTTGTCTTGGTCGTTTTCTATCCGCAGCTCAACCAGGTGAGGATTGCTGGTATTGCAGCGTGCTTGATAGCTGATATGGTATCATCCATTGGAATCCGTATGTACCCAAGCAAGTTGTTACACGTAAATAAAGTTGCTTCTATACAATGGCTATCTGCTGTTCATGTAGAAAAAGGCTGCAAGGCGGTGCTGCATGCAAAGAACGTTGTTCGAGACAATGAAATAAAGACCTTCCTAGTAGCAGCTGCTGTTACGTTTGGTCGTGGCAGAGGTGTGCAAGAGAACGCGTGCTGTAGTAAAATGACAGGGTTGCGAATGCTGTTTGACACAATGCAGTAAAGAGCTTGCTAATGGCAGCCGCTGTTACGATTGATTGTGACAGAGGAATGTGAAAGATAGTGTGTAGTGTCAAGGAAGTCGCGCGTCGTAGTGGGGTGTACACGCCATGAACTTGCCATTCAGTTAAAGACAATCAGATCAGGGCAACTGTAGGATTGACATGATGGGTTGAAGCACGACAATCGTTTGCAGATGGTGGTCGTATACTTGAATGGGGCCAACAGATGAGAATGGGAGGAAGAGGGAACAAGGTGGTAGTGGAAGAAGTAGAAATTAAAATAGGCTGAACTGAAGTTGAATGCCATTTCTTTGTTTGAGCGTAACTCAACCAAATCCACTCGAATCAAGAAAGCTGAAGGATGGCGATGATGGGCTGGATCAGGACAATCGTTCACATGCATTGGATTGGGCAACAAAGGTGAATGGGAGGAATGGGTTATTAGCTGGTAGTTTATGAATAGTGTCAAGAATCATGCATTGCTCTTTCGAGTTGCATGATAAGCTGGGTTACACAAACACGCACCTCTGCATCTTAGGCTCTGTCAGGGTCGAGTTACTTCACAATGAACAAAGACCACTTCTCATATAGCATCACGCTTACAAACATAAAGGCGCCTGCATCTCCAAACTTTGCAATGAAACGTGGGGTTTTGAATAGAGCAATGGGCTCGGCTTGGCCAACAGCACCTTGTGTGAAAGTTTCGCGTTCAATGTCGCAAACAGCCCAAAAAATATTTTTTGGTCGTCGTCGTCGAAGAGGTCGACCTCCAGATCCAGTTTGGCTAGTAGCGACATTGCGAAATCTGGGATTGGCAAGCTTGATCGTGAAACTTTCACACAAGGTGCTGTTGGCCAAGCCGAACCCATTGCTGTAATAAAAACCCCACGTTTCATTGTAAAGTTTGGAGATACAGGCACCTTTATGTTTGTAAGTGTGATGCTATATGAAGAGTGGTCTTTGTTCATTGTCAAGTAGGTGGATCCTGGCAGAGCAAAAGATGCATAGGGTCGTGTTGTGTAACACAGCTACGTTTGCATGAATGAAAGGGTCAATGTATAATTACTTTATGGATCATCTAGGAACAGGCATGTATTGCTAGCTAACGGCCACTTTTATCCAGTCATCATTGTTCCGAGATCCACTGCATGGGAACGATGCCCCTGCTCTAGACATTCATTTCCATGATTAAAGTAGGTTGATACGAGCTGATTTGACTGAGCTGCGGTCAAAGAGAGATTACATCACTCTGCACATAAAGCACGCTCGATGTAGCTCAACCGATGTAATCTTGTGTGAGCGTAACTCAACCAAATCAGTTCAGATCAACCTACTTTAATCATGGAAATGATTGTCTAGAGCAGGAGCATCGTCCACCTACAATAGAATGCACAAAAGTTGGGAATGCACAAAAGTGGCTATTAGCTGCCAATGTATGACATGAAAATGAGGGTTGTGTACCTGTCATGCATTGTCCCTGAAGTCCTGACTTTTTAGCTGAGTTACCCAAAGAGGTCCTTCTGCATCTTTTGCTCTGCCAGGGTCCACCTACTTGACAATGAACAAAGACCACTCTTCATATAGCATCACGCTTACAAACATAAAGGTGCCTGTATCTCCAAACTTTACAATCAAACATGGGGTTTTTATTAGAGCAATGTGTTCGGCTTGGCCAACAGCACCTTGTGTGAAAGTTTCACGATCAAGCTTGCCAATCCCAGATTTCGCAATGTCGCCACCAGCCAAACAGGATCTGGAGGTCGACCTCTTCGACGACGACGACCAAAAAAATATTTTTTGGGCTGTTTGCGACATTGAACGCGAAACTTTCACACAAGGTGCTGTTGG